TCCTGATAATAAAGAAAGATTAATCATATCCAGTAAAGAAGTGCCAATTAAGGGTACGACTTCTTTAAGCAGTCTAGTTGGGATCGGGTCCAACGGTTGATGGCTTCGATGTAGAAATTATTGAAGTTAACTGAGTCGAGGGGGCAACCCAGGACAGGGCTGGCCTTCTTAATCAGCTTGACGAGTCTCTTCCTGTCGGCTGCTGAGATGCTGCTGCTCCAGCAGACCACTCCAAAGAAAATGGATGATGCCACAGCAGTATCAAAGAAGGACCTCAGGAGCTCTCCCTGCACTCCAAAGGACCTGAGTTTCCAGGGCAGCTAGAGTCTGCTCTGGACTTTCTTATAAAGTGCGTGAGTGTTATGAGTCCAGTCCAGTTTATTGTTCAGGTGAACACCCAGGTACTTATAAGAGTCCATTCTCTCTATGTCTATACCCAGAGTGTTCACCGGTGTTCAGTGGGCGTGACTGCGCCTGCGGAAATCCACCACCAGCTCCTTGGTTTTCCCTGTGTTGATTTGGAGGCGGTCTGTGATGCAGTGAGTGAGGCTGTCGATATCCTCCCCATGAGGATAACAGAGTTCTTCCCACACAGTTGAGTCAAAACAGTCCTTCAGAGCCTCTTCAGTCTCCTCAGACCATCCTCTCACTGTATGGGTCACAGCTGATTGTCTGTGCATGAGGTGTTCATACACAGGCAGGAGATGAACCAGGTTGTGATCTGATCTCCCCAGGGGAGGGAGGGCAGTTGAATTATATGCCTCCTTGGTGTTGGCATAAAACAGATCCAGTATTTTATTGTCTCTGGTGTGGCAGGTAACGTACTGGGTGAATTTGGGCGTCGAGGAAGGAGTGGACCCATACAAAGAAAGACAACAACTGTGTTGGTGCAATTAATTAAAGTTTTCCTATCAAAATGATCAATAGTAAGTATAACTTAAATGAATTATGAAGTTCTTCGGGCACCACTTTTAATTTAGTTTAGTCTCATGAAATACACAAAACTATTATTATTATTTTGGATTAATAATTAAGTTATTACCTACGACCAAAATGACCATTAACAGCTGGTAAGTTGGAGGATGTGGAGCTCTAACTTTATAAGTATAGCACCATTCATACAGTTTAGTGCAGCTCAAAGTGATTCACAGATGATTGATAGGATGATATTAAGACAGAAAACAAAAACAATGAAATATAGTCAATTTAAAAATAGAACACAACCATAAAAATGCCAGTCAATACAACAAATGTTCTTTTTTCTCAGGTATACTGATAGTAAATCATTAAAACAAATGAACAATGAAATCCTTGTTTGCTGGATTTAGGGTCAGGTATATTCAAGGACTCAAGGTTGTATGATAGTGTGCAGTGGCGGATGGCCAATAGAGGGCGCTAGGGCGCCGCCCCCTTGAGCCATAAAAATAAAAAATTAATAAAAAATTAAAATAAATAAAAAAAATTAAAAATAATAATAATAATGATAAAAACATCAGTATGTCAATATTTGTGTGTTTGCAATATGGAATGCACCCAGTAATATGTGTAAAATATAATAGAAAATCATATTCACAACCTTTCCTCTGCCTGTCTGAAGCCTCATCAGCTCTGGCCGATAGAGAAAGCGCCCCCAGGAGGCGGGTCTATGTAGCAGTTAAGCCAATTGCTAATTTAAGATATGAATGTATGACATAAAATTCAGCCAATTAATTATTATCGTCCTTAAATCAAATCCAAGAAGGGAGATTATTTTATCGCCCCAAGCTCGCCTCTGATAAAATAAGGACCGGGCTCTAGCGGCGCCATTTTTACTAGACGACAATGGCGAACGTGAACGTTAGTCCTCCAAGACCCAACCCTAACTCAGTGAAATCTCTCCTCCAAGATCCGTTTGAGAGGAGAACTTTGTCGGAGAAAGTTGGGGTGAAAGAGCTGGGCCCAGATCAACCTGAGCTCTCAATCAGACAGCAGGCTAGAGAGAAAGGGAAGCAGTATATGGCGGCGGCTTCTCCCGTAGCCGGTACACCGGGAAGGCTTGGCTAGCTGGGTGCACTCATGCTTTTTAAAAGGACGGGGACAGATCCAGCATGGACAGTTACCGGAGTGAGGGATATGAAGCACCTGTCAGAGAAGGTGATGTTTATGTTTTTCTGTAATAATGGTAAGGTATCGACCGACACAACATAGTATCCAGTAGTATCGAAACTGCGCCTGTCGATACCTGCAATCGGTTCTTTTTGTACCCAGATCAAGAAAACAGTGACTGTTTCTATGGTTTCGCTTTGTATGGCGGTAAAGCTTGCAGCTTAGTTTGTGGTTGAGTTGGCTGGTCAGCATTCCGAGATTAACCTGACCTATCAACACATGGCTAATTTAAATATTCAAATGAGCCATGTGCTCACTCGCAGTTGCTAGGTTACCACCAGGCTGTCAATCAAACTCTCAGACAGAACATAATGTTAGCTAATGTCGGTTGTTTTTTACCCTTTATCTATCCAGATAAAAACATAAAGAACAGTTTCTGTAAGATGTTTATTAGACCTATGTAATCTGAATTGGAAGGGCACGTTGTCATGAGCTGTATCTTGTATATTTATTATTAGCTATGTGGTATGTGTATGCACCTTTATGTAATCTGCTGGAAAAACATTAACATTTAAAACCGGATCATACCAAACAGGTAATATGTTATATATATATATATATATATATATATATATATATATATATATATGTACATGTTTGTACAGCTATTAAATAAATATTTGAGCACTTTCAAAATGTATTTGTGTAAAAATCTTTTGAATGGGGAGGAGTGGTGACATTCACAAAGTTAAAAAAAAAAGTATCGAATGAAGTACTCAATTGGTATCAGTATCGTGTTAAGGGTACTGGTATCGGTACTGGTATCGGTACTGGTATCGAACATTTTTAAATGATACCAAGCCCTACTGACTATTTCACTGAGCACTGGTGTCCTGCAGTTTATGTTAAATTGTATTGCGATGGTTACAGAAACAAAAAAGTATGGCACAGCCCCACCAACAATATTTTTCACCAGTCGCCACTGCAAGTGTGTCCAATTGTGTTCAGTTGTTGACGAGTTTAGCCTTGTTAAGGCCTTCAGGTGTGTCTGGTTTGTGATTATTCAGGTGTTTTAATGTGTTCTTGAGTTTTCAGGTGTGATTAGGTGCTCAAGTGTTTTCAGTTGTTTACAGATATGTTCAGATGTTTTTATGTTTTCAGGTGGTTTGTTGTTGATTGTAGTGTGCAGGTGTGTGATGTATTCAGCTGTGATCAAATATATTCAGTGTGCAGGTGTTGAGTTTAACTCAGTGTAAACCAGTCTGCTGACTCGTGTTCATTCACATGTTCATCTCAACTATAGTAAACTGGTAAAACGGCTCCAATGAGAGTTCACTGAGATGTTTCTGAGCTCCAAGAAACTTGGATCGACTGTCCTCTTTTCAATATGCTGCTTCATACTGATGAGTATTTTCTGATTTTCTCCTCAGCACTGCAGACTGAAGGAACACCCAACTCAACAGGTAAATAGAGAAAGAAAAGAGAAGTAAAGAATCGTCTTTGTGTGGAGAGCAAAGATTGTGGAGTACCTGAGCAGAAGGAACAGAATAGATGAATCTGCAGATGATGATGTTGTTTTATTGTTTGAAAGTGTTTAAAAATGGATACCAAGTGTTCCAGTGTATTCAGTGTCAGTGTATTGGGAGCTGTTGGACTCACCTGCTCAGGTAGAAGAGGAGCTGCAGCTCTGATTGGTTCATTTCTGTTCTGATGAAACTCACTTTATTCTTTTACTGATGACTCTCTTGTTTCTGTTCAGAGTCTGAGGAGGTCAGGTTGGTGGGAGGAGACAGTCGCTGTGCAGGAACACTGGAGCTGAAACATAAAGGAGGCTGGAGACCAGTGGGGGGCTCAGGCTGGACCCTGAAGGAAGCAAATGTTGTCTGTAGAAATCTGGATTGTGGTTCTGCTGTTTCTATAGGAGAGAGAGAGGAGTCTTCAGTCAGACCTGTGTGGTGGATCGACTCTGACTGTGTTCAGTCTGGATCTTCTCTGAGGGAGTGTGCAATATCAAGTTCCTCTTCCTCCATCCTGAATCTCACCTGTTCAGGTAAGCCCATCAGTGACATCATCAATGACATAATTAATGACAATAACGTACCCATGTTGACACACACACACAGACACACACACACGCACACCTGTAGTGATCCCAGTTCACCTCCTGGCCTCTGCCGAGGTCTCTTGAGCAAGGCACTGAACCCCTAACTGCTTGGAGCAGCGACTGTGTGGCAGCCTGTGAAGGAAAGTGTGCTGACTGATGATGACTACTTGCTGCTTGAATCAAAGCTGGCCCCATTTCCAATCAGCCAGACGAAGCTTACTGTACTTTCACTTCCAATATTTTCTTCCCAACGATGCGTTATCACAAGTCCAGGTTCACCAGGGCTTTTTAAAGTAGTGTGTGCTTTGTATTCAGAGACAGCTGGCAGTTATCCTCAACAAAGTAGTTCAAACACAGCAGCTCTATTTCTCTGCTACAAAGGAAATATGACAGTAATGATCCCAGCACCATTGGTAAATACCCACACTGAAACAGCAGCTGCACTTTCCTTAAAAACACTAGGGGTGTCCTGCAGGTGTCGCTGTTGAAGCATTTTAATCACAATTTGAATGATGGATTTTCTCCAAAGCAGAGAGAAACCTTAATTCATGAATGATAATTGTTTGTTTGGTAATTATTTATTTCAACCAGTTACTCTTTTTATAGTTTTATTTCCCTCTTTCCTCTCAACAATACAGGAGGACCAACCTCCCCTGCCTCTACGGACCAGCATCCTCTAGTGTACATGTGTGTGTTTAAGGCCAATGTGTGTATGTTAAAATAACATTATATTATGTTGTTTGATGACATCTTTTTATTTGTGTCTGGTGTCTTTTCTCTCTCTCTATTTTATCTTCTATTATCTGTCCAGACTCTGTCAGGCTGGTGGATGGGACTAGTCTGTGCTCAGGCAGACTGGAGGTGAAGTCTGACCAGTCTAACCAGTGGTGGTCCTCAGTGTGTGAAGATGACTTTGACCAGCAGGATGCAGAGGTGGTCTGTAGGGAGCTCGGCTGTGGGGCTCCTTCAGTCCTCCAGGGGGCGCTCTATGGAGAAGTGGAGGCTCCAATGTGGACCAAAGAGTTCCAGTGTGGAGGCCATGAGTCTGCTCTCCTGGACTGTAGAAGCTCAGGCTCAGCTAGAAACACCTGCTCACCTGGAAAAGCTGTTGGACTCACCTGCTCAGGTAGAAGAGGAGCTGCAGCTCTGATTGGTTCATTTCTGTTCTGATGAAACTCACTTTATTCTTTTACTGATGACTCTCTTGTTTCTGTTCAGAGTCTGAGGAGTTCAGGTTGGTGGGAGGAGACAGTCGCTGTGCAGGAACACTGGAGCTGAAACATAAAGGAGACTGGAGACCAGTGGGGGGCTCAGGCTGGACCCTGAAGGAAGCAAATGTTGTCTGTAGAAATCTGGACTGTGGTTCTGCTGTTTCTATAGGAGAGAGAAAGTCTAAATACAGACCTGTGTGGTTGATCACCTCTGACTGTGTTAACTATGGATCTTCTCTGAGGGACTGCGCATCATCATATTCCTCTTCCTCCATCCTGAATCTCACCTGTTCAGGTAAGCCCATCAGTGACATCATCAATGTCATAATTAATGACAGTAATGTACCCATGTTGAGACACACACACACACACACACACACACACACACACACACACACACACACCTGTAGTGATCCCAGTTCACCTCCTGGGCTCTGCCGAGGTCTCTTGAGCAAGGCACTGAAGCCCTAACTGCTTGGAGCAGCGACTGTGTGGCAGCCTCATCACTCTGACATCTGTCCACTAATGCATGTGTCCAGGTCCTGTGTGTGCATCAGTGGCTGCTGACTCAAACATTGTGGAGGACAGGAGGAAAACCAACCCACAGCATCGTGTTATTTTACACTAGTTGGCAGATTATCTCTACTTTCTTCTGTTCAATAACAATGAAACAGTAAATCAATGGCTTCCAAGAGTTCTTAAAAACAACATCATTGTATTCACTGCTGTTGTTTCCAGATGAACCCTACAGGCCTAATGAAGCTCAGTGTAAGTTCAATCAGGAAGACCTTCTCATTATGCCTCATTCATTCACAATTCTCTCCCTCTCTTTTCTAATCAGCCATGGCCGTTTACTCTTTCAGTTAATCCAATCAGATTTAGCCACAATCTCCTCCAGCCAATCATGTTGCTGCTGTTAAACTTTAAATCTGGTCTTTTCTCTGCTGCTTTCAGCTGTCATTTCTGTGCAAATGTGATTTGGATTCTTCAGCTCAATTCATATTCAATGTTAAAGGGGACATATTATGCAAAACCAACGTTTTAATCATTTTAATATATAAATTTGGGACCCTGGGGGGGCCAACCAGCAAAAAAAAAAAAAAAAAAATTTCAAAATTATTTTTTTGGGGGCCCCCCCAAAAAAAAAAAAGAAAAAAAAAAAAAAAAGGAAAAAAGGGGGTGGTTTGAGACGCTACACCCCCCCCCCCCCCCCCCCCCCCCCCCTTCCCTCCCCTTCACCACCCGACCCCCCCCATTTTAAAAAAAAAAAAAAAAAAAAAAAAAAAAAAAAAAACCCCCCCCCCCCCCCCGGGGAAAAGGGGGGCCTCAGCAGACAAACTGTTCAGTCATTGGCTGCACAGCCCAACACTAATTTACATATGTAAATGTATGTAAATTATTTTTTACGGCAATGTCCGGCTAGAGTCAGAAAAACCGGAATGTGTGTGTGAACAACCTCGGTCAGTACAACAGTGGACTGACTGACAGACTGTTCCTGAAAGAGGGATTGTACCAACTGTCTGTGGAGAGACGGCAGAGGAAGTCACTGTGGATTGTACCAACTGTCTGTGGAGAGATGGCAGAGGAAGTCACTGGAAGTATTTTTAATAATTTATACTTTGTTTTTCATTGTTCGTGTAACGCTAGCACATGCTAACCGCTGTTAGCTACAGGAGCCTCAGTGATGCTAACGTAGTTATTGTTTGTTATTGTTTGTTAAATGTTTGTTAATGTTTTTTATCGTTTGTTAAATGTTATTGTTTGTTATTGTTTGTTAAATGTTTGTTAAATGTTTGTTATTGTTTGTTAAATGTTTGTTAATGTTTGCTATTGTTGTTAAATGTTTGTTAAATGTTTGTTATTGTTTGTTAAATGTTATTGTTTGTTATTGTTTGTTAAATGTTTGTTAAATGTTTGTTATTGTTTGTTAAATGTTTGTTAAATGTTTGTTATTGTTTGTTAAATGTTTGTTATTGTTTGTTAAATGTTTGTTATTGTTTGTCAAATGTTTGTTAAATGTTTGTTATTGTTTGTTAAATGTTTGTTAAATGTTTGTTATTGTTTGTTAAATGTTATTGTTTGTTATTGTTTGTTAAATGTTTGTTATTGTTTGTTATTGTTTGTTAAATGTTTGTTAAATGTTTGTTATTGTTTGTTAAATGTTTGTTATTGTTTGTTAAATGTTTGTTAATGTTTGTTAAATGTTTGTTATTGTTTGTTAAATGTTTGTTAAATGTTTGTTATTGTTTGTTAAATGTTATTGTTTGTTATTGTTTGTTAAATGTTTGTTATTGTTTGTTAAATGTTTGTTATTGTTTGTTAAATGTTTGTTATTGTTTGTCAAATGTTTGTTATTGTTTGTCAAATGTTTGTTAAATGTTTGTTATTGTTTGTTAAATGTTATTGTTTGTTATTGTTTGTTAAATGTTTGTTAAATGTTTGTTATTGTTTGTTAAATGTTTGTTATTGTTTGTGAAATGTTTGTTAAATGTTTGTTAAATGTTTGTTATTGTTTGTTAAATGTTTGTTAATGTTTGTTAAATGTTTGTTATTGTTGTTAAATGTTTGTTAAATGTTTGTTAATGTTTGTTATTGTTTGTTAAATGTTTGTTAAATGTTTGTTAAATGTTATTGTTTGTTATTGTTTGTTATTGTTTGTTAAATGTTTGTTTTTGTTTGTTAAATGATTGTTAAATGTTTGTTATTGTTTGTTAAATGTTTGTTAAATGTTTGTTATTGTTTGTTATTGTTTGTTAAATGTTAAAAGATGAAGATGAAACTTATAAGGTGAAGTTAATGTATTAACCAGCTGGTGCAGATGTCTCCATATTCTCCCCTGCTGATATTTTTATAGAGATTCACACAAAGTTTATTATAAGTTTATACCGAGAATCACCAAGCTTCGTGCCGGAGGGGGGCTCTGTTGTGTGTTTTGTGTCTGGGGGTAACTGGTTTTATGTTTGTCTGTATTTAGTTAAAGTGCTCAGTCAGTAATATGTTTGTGTCGCTGTTAGAAAGAACAGAAAACCTCCGAGTGAACAAACTGTAGCCGCTCATCAGCTGTTAGCTCGCTGAGCTAACGCTAGCTTTGTTATTCCAGAGCCATTGTCCTGCTCCGCGCTGTGTGTGTGTGTGTGTGTGTGTGTGTGTGTGTGTGTGTGTAAATGAACTTGATCAAGGTGCACCAGAGTTAACAATAGAGCTCCAGTGAGAGAGAATCAGTCAAACTGCAGGGATTCATTAGTTTAGTAATATTGTGTAACTTTGATTAGCACCCAGCAGCTGGGGTTGCTCACTAGGCTTTATGTGGAGTCAAACCGACGAATAAAAGTTTTCTGATCCGTTATTTAGCGTTACTGAAGTACTGCTATTACTGAGGATATAAGTGTAGGTCCAGTGTAACATCCTATACTCATATCATCTCCTATTGTATTATAAACACTGAGGCTCACTGCTGAATGTCTGTTATTGCACCGGGAACTTGTTCCAACATCAGTTACAGTCAGTAAATGTCCTGTGTGTGTGTGTGTGTGTGTGTATCTGCTGCCATTAGATAGACATTGTGTTGGTAACCTCAGACTGTTTCAACAACACATCACTACAGTTAGCTGCAACAAGGAACCACCAGAGACACTGCTTTATTATTTTAGTTTATAACTGAGGACTACTGTGAGCCACAATGAGCTGTTGTACTTGTATTATATTATACTGTATTATATTATACTGTATTATATTATACTGTATTATATTATACTGTATTATATTATACTGTATTATATTATACTGTATTATATTATACTGTATTATATTATACTGTATATTATATTATACTGTATATTATATTATACTGTATATTATATTATACTGTATATTATATTATACTGTATTATATTATACTGTATTATATTATACTGTAAATTATATTATACTGTAAATTATATTATACTGTATATTATATTATATTGTATTATATTATACTGTATATTATATTATACTATATTATATTACACTGTATATTATATTATACTGTATATTATATTATACTGTATATTATATTATACTGTATATTATATTATTCTGTATTATATTATACTGTATTATATTAAACTGTCTATTATATTATACTGTATATTATATTATTCTGTATTATATTATACTGTATTATATTACACTGTATATTATTATACTGTATATTATATTATACTGTATATTATATTATACTGTATTATATTATACTGTATATTATATTACACTGTATATTATATTACACTGTATATTATATTATACTGTATTATATTATACTGTATATTATATTATACTGTATTATATTACACTGTATATTATATTACACTGTATATTATATTATACTGTATATTATATTACACTGTATTATATTATACTGTATATTATATTATTCTGTATTATATTACACTGTATATTATATTACACTGTATATTATATTATACTGTATTATATTATACTGTATATTATATTATTCTGTATTATATTACACTGTATATTATATTATACTGTATATTATATTACACTGTATATTATATTATACTGTATTATATTATACTGTATATTATATTATACTGTATATTATGTGCTGCCTTACAAGTAACACTGAATCCTCCATGTTTTACAGGTGACCTGATGAAGCTCAGGTGTTCCTGGACCCATCAGAGGACAGAGACAGCTGCAGCATCAGGACAGTCTGGGTATCCAAAGGAAGACTGATGAAGATGAACACTGACTGCAGAGCTCCACTACCAGCTCACACTTCAATATACTAGAAACCATAAACCTTGATGGAGAACATGATCTGCACAGTTTACATAAAAGTTATAGCTTTGTTACTTACAACATGTGTAACTGGAATATGAATGAAATATAAATAAAGTGTTTTACTTTTAAGAAGAGTTTTGGTCATTTTTAAATTCAGTAATAAGTGTGGTTTTATATAAATAACATGTTATTTCACAGAGGTTTTATGAAGATTTCCTGGATGTACAAGAGTTGAAAACCTGGTTCGTGTAACATCTATCAATATGAAAATGTGGAATTTAAACCTGTATTAATGACTGTAAGCAACACAATACATTACTGTCTCACATTCAAACTTTATTACATTGGAAGATAAATGACATCATAATACAGTATATAATATAAATGATAGAATATTCAGTATACAGTATTTTTAATGGGGTTCAAACATAATTGCAGCTTTTACAAATATCTGAAGGTGAACTTTGATAATAATACTTAGTTATAATATCAGACTATGAAATATGGATACAGTACAGTTAACAGTTGGTTACTTGGCAGTTTTTCAACCACATAAACAATTTACTTTATTAGATGAGTGATTCCTTCAGTTATGTTGACATGTTGTACAGGATAAAGTATTCCAGGTTTCTGTTTCCATGGTCTCAGTAAACTAATGTGTATAAAGAATATAACAGATGGGAGGTTACAGTAATCATTATACTATTACTCTGATTACTTTGGTACATTTACTGGCTGTTTCTTCACTAGAAACAACTGCTTGACTAATGTTGTTAATATTATGCTTAACTTCCCTGGGCTGTGTAGACTGTAGGTCACTGCTCACTGCTGTACCTGGAAAGACATAAAACACAGTGTTGGTTCTCATAGTTGAGGTATAAACACTAACATTATGTGATAGATAGAAGTTAATATATAGCAGTATTTACCTGAGGAAAACGTCACAGACAGCTGTAATCCTGATTGTTGTTGTTAATTTCTCTGTGATTTCAGGTCAGACTCCCGCTCTAACATGTCCGCTGGTGAAGTTTTTGCTTTAGAAGCAGTTATTGAATTCATATTGACGGTTGAAATGCAGATAAACTCAGTAACAGTGAGGAGCTACCTGCCGGCAACGGAGGGGAGGGGCCGGAGCGTCATCCGCGTCATCCGCGTGAGCCGCGTCATAATGCCGACCAATCAGAGCAGACTGGGCTTTTCGGGAGGGGGGTCTTAAAGAGACAGGCGCTAAAACCTAGCGATTCGGACAGAGGCTGAAAAGAGGTGCTCAGCTGTAGGCAGTATGAGAAAAATAATGTGTTTTTTGAACATTAAAACATCTAAACCTATTGTAGGAGAGCCACAAAATACAATTATGAACCTGAAAAAGGGAATAATATGACTCCTTTAAGATAACGACGGAGAAAGGCTGATCAAACCACGACTGCACCACATCAAGTCTATATTTTAGCAGTGGGCCCAGTCATGGTCCTGTGTCGGTATGTTTTGTTGCCTTAAACCTTCCATCGTGTATCAATGCCAGTATACCACCAACAAACAAATCACAGCAATATGTTTTCACTTCTGAAATTTTCACCGTGCATCAATACCAGTAGCCTACAAAACCAGATCAACACAGTCAGGTACAAGCTGTCCTCACATACCGATCAGTTCCCAGAAAATTCCTCAATGTCTCCAATCAGCGTCCCTCGTCGCTGCCAAGTCTACATGCAGCTGGCCTCTGTGTTCAGCAGGGCTTCACAGGGCGCTCCTCACCTTTCGTCTCTGTTGCAACAGCTCTCTGGTCTAATGAGGTACTGCTGGAGCAACATGGCATTCTGTACCTTTATGTGGCAAAACCACTTAAATTCAATGTTTTTTAGCCTTTATTTATTCAGGGAGGGTTCACTGAGAGGAAGCCACTGTTACACATTCATACTTGGAAGCTGCCCAGTACAAGCACAGCCACTGAGCAGCTGTACAGCAGCGTTTTGGGTTAAGGGTCTTGCTCAAGGGCACATCAGTGGTGGTATTGAGCGGGGGCAAGTGCTGCTTCTTCACTTTCCCCACCCGCCTTTAGGCCACCACTTTACAATTATTCACCAAAATGTATTTAAAGAAATAACAATTAGTTTACATCTTTTAACACTTTCAGTACCTTTTCATGCCACAGCAGACTGCAGGGGGAAAAACAGGTTGCACTACACAACTCCGCAGGGGCTCCATAAGGGAGGGCTACGGCATCAAATAAAGTTAAATAAATACAGAAAAACAAGTCCCCAACGTGGAATACAAAGAATGAGAAAATACATTGACAATAAAACAGTGATAATACTTAATAAAATACAGTTGTTAGTAATGGTAATGGCTACTGGAAGCATTCCACTCTGCTACACTGACAATTAGCTACGTGATTAAATGAACAAAATCACTCAAATAGATCCACTGTGAACTTGCCAATACACGCTGAAACGTCCTTGTGGCAAAATTAAAAAGTTGAATGGAAGTGCTGTCCTAGTTCTTTGGTTCATGAAATTATTCCCAGGCCACACAGACCAATAATTGAATGGAAATTTACTAGTAGCCTATTTTATTTCAGTCAGCCCAACTCTCTATTTAAATCAAGATTTTGTGATCACTGATTTGCTGAAACATTTTCCTCTACCTTAAGCTTGTTACAATTATGTTCCCATTTCTGTCAGCCATGATTTTGTACCTTTAAAATTAAACAAAGGTCCACATTTATCACCTTAAGGACCTTTTTCGTGCCTTAGACGGGACTTTTGTAACAAATGTACCTTTGGGTACAGAAATGATTCCCCTATTTCTCTGTGTGCAGGACCTCGACCCAACAAACTCACTGTTTTCAGTTTGGTTGTCGGATCCTAACTTTCTTTCGCAATCTCTGACTTTAATTTCTGTTTAGTTGTCAGACGTTAAGTTCTGTTTTCCATTTTATTTAAGTTGGTGTTGTTCGGTCTTATGACCTTTTATTAGGTTCCACATGCTACACCTATGGTCTCCCTGAACTCATGCAACAAATCTGCATTTTCAGTTTGTCACTGCTGACTTTAATCAGGGACCGAGCCAGCAACCGCTGGAGGTCCCTATTGTAATTGCTCGATTTCCCTATTATTATTTTTAGCGCCTTCGACTGTGTTTTTGCCCTCCTGAACATATACCAAAAGTAATTTTTTTTTTGTCAGGCCTGGCGAAAAATTTGATATTCTATGCGTCACTTTCAGGTTGGCCACTAGGTGGCGCTACCATCATAAAAAATGCGTTTAGGCTAATAACTTCTGCATAGTTTGTCGCTCATTCAAAAACCTTCTATCCACACGTTCGGTGAATGGAGCTGAATCTCCCCACATAGCCCCGCCCACTTTCGCCTACTTTTTTTTTTTGCTAGAGTGCGAAATGTCCAAAAACTACTTTTTGGTGATCTTCCTACACACTTTGTTCGATTCACACAAAATTTTTCATGTAGCACCTGGGGACCGTCCTAGTAAAAAAGTAGTCTAAAGAATTTTGATATTTCAAAAACTAAAGACGTTATAAATTTAAGACTTCCTGTAAATTTTTTTGTCAAAAAAGGAAGTGGACCATTTCTCCACATTGGCATCTCTGATTGACACCAAACTTGGGTCCATAGTTCCCCATGTCTTCCTTAGGCATCGTGCACAATTTCAGGCCATCACCACTAGGTGGCGCTCTCTAAAATGAAGTTTATATCTCTGCAACGGCACGTGTGATTAAAATGAAACTTGGTAGGATGGTTGCCCATGTCTCCCTGAGGCTCACTAATAAATGCGTCAACAATCCACCACTAGGTGGCGTTCTGGTGGCAGGGTAAATCACTGTGCGGAGACCGTAATAGTTATGAGTATGAAATTCACAGGGCACGTGTAGAGTTGTGCCTGTAGCTCACATACCAAAAATCCTGTTTGTCGTGTTTATAGTGCCCCCTACAGGATAAGAGACATTTTCAAAAAGATTTTGAGCTGATTTACGTGAGATTTTCATGTTCTGGCCCGCACGTGTTACGACGGCACGCGACGCGGCCGCAGCATGCCCCGAGTTGTGTGGAGTGCGAGGTCCCGCCCAACGCTGCTTGCAGCTTTAATTTTTACTTGGTATTATAATATTTTATATTTCTGTTTGGTCCTATGAACTTTCCATTATGTTACATACTGATCTTAATCATTATTTCATATAATTGACCTCATTTTCTTCTAGTATCAAGCTCACATTTCCTCTGTGAAAACACTCCTTTACATTTGCCGGCTTGTTGTAATTTAGTCTGATCTCATTTGCCACGTCATGGTCAATACAACCTCAGTATGGCATTATTGTACAATCATTTACTTCCAGCTATATGTTCCTGTTACATGTTACATATTTTAAGTGATCCCCTGCTGTCTGGTACGGTAGGATTGAAGCATTTTTACCTGGTTCGTTGTTCCTTTCTCATTCTTTTCTATTCTTTTGGGGGTTCCCTATACTAATCACAGCTCCACCAACCCCCTCAAATACGATGACTTTACGATGGGGTCTAATCGCCAAAGACTTTTACATTTCTAATCTTCACTGAGCACATATCATCTAAATATATTTGTCCACTCCAAAATAAGGTCTTCCAAAGTAGTTCAAACACAGCAGCTCTATTTCTCTGCTACAAAGGAAATATGACAGTAATGATCCCAGCACCATTGGTAAATACCCACACTGAAACAGCAGCTGCACTTTCCTTAAAAACACTAGGGGTGTCCTGCAGGTGTCGCTATTGAAGCATTTTAATCACAATTTGAATGATGGATTTTCTCCAAAGCAGAGAGAAACCTTAATTCATGAATGATAATTGTTTGTTTGGTAATTATTTATTTCAACCAGTTACTCTTTTTATAGTTTTATTTCCCTCTTTCCTCTCAACAATAGAGGAGGAACAACCTCCCCTGCCTCTATGGACCAGCATCCCCTAGTGAACGTGTGTGTGTTTAAGGCCAATGTGTGTAATGTTAAAATAACATTATATTACGTTGTTTGATGACATCTTTTTATTTGTGTCTGGTGTCTTTTCTCTCTCTCTATTGTATCTTCTATTATCTGTCCAGACTCTGTCAGGCTGGTGGATGGGACTAGTCTGTGCTCAGGCAGACTGGAGGTGAAGTCTGACCAGTCTAACCAGTGGTGGTCCTCAGTGTGTGAAGATGACTTTGACCAGCAGGATGCAGAGGTGGTCTGTAGGGAGCTCGGCTGTGGGGCTCCTTCAGTCCTCCAGGGGACGCTCTATGGAGAAGTGGAGGCTCCAATGTGGACCAAAGAGTTCCAGTGTGGAGGCCATGAGTCTGCTCTCCTGGACTGTAGAAGCTCAGGCTCAGCTAGAAACACCTGCTCACCTGGAAAAGCTGTTGGACTCACCTGCTCAGGTAGAAGAGGAGCTGCAGCTCTGATTGGTTCATTTCTGTTCTGATGAAACTCACTTTATTCTTTTACTGATGACTCTCTTGTTTCTGTTCAGAGTCTGTCAGGTTGGTGGGAGGAGACAGTCGCTGTGCAGGAACACTGGAGGTGAAACATAAAGGAGACTGGAGACCAGTGAGGGGCTCAGGCTGGACCTTGAAGGAAGCAAATGTTGTCTGTAGAAATCTGGACTGTGGTTCTGCTGTTTCTGTAGTAAAGAGAAAGGAGTCTTCAGTCAGACCTGTGTGGTGGATCGACTCTGACTGTGTTCAGTCTGGATCTTCTCTGAGGGACTGTGCATTACCAGTTTCCTCTTCCACCATCCTGAATCTCATTTGTTCATGTAAGCTCATCAGTGACATCATCTTACATCACTTATGAAATGAACATGACATCCTGAAGTCATCACATCATCAATGCGACCTTTCATCATCTCATCTCATTTACAGACCTGCTGGTTCGGCCCAACATCTCTGTGTCCTCCTCCACGTACGGGGTCTCTGAGGCCCAGCAGCAGGAGTTTCGGGTGCTCAGGGGCTCCACCTTCACCATCAGCTGCTCCATCCAGCCACAGTACCCAGGAGGCTCCTTCCAGCTGACCTTCACCTCCTCCAACACAACGCACAACTACACCCAGCCAGCTGTCAATCACTCTGCCCACTTCCTGTTTCCTGCTGCAGAGCCCGCCCACCAAGGAAACTACAGCTGTGTTTATCACGTCTATGTTTTCTCTCATAACTTCTCCTCTGAGAGCCGTCTGCTCTCTCTCACTGTCTCAGGTAAGCTGAAGCAGAGAAACTGTCTCACTGACTGTTTACATGCAGCTTTGGAAAGATGATCAGCTGACAACAGAGACTACTGTCATTGTGTTACACATGTCATATAGTGTCCAAACTTATATAAGTGTGTAAATGTCAACAGCAAACAACATACTGTAGGACAGATCATGTTTGGTTACTGACTGAGGTATTTCACTGTTCACCATATTTACAGAGTAAACACAATTTGCTGTGATTTAATTGCAATAAACGGATCAAAAAGATGCTGAAATAACTACATAAGCTCAAGTTATTTAGTCGGGTCTGTCTGCAAGACCACAAGCAAATAACTTTTGAAATGTTTGTTTTCTGAATGGAGTTTGGTTGATCGGGGCTATGCTAACTTAGTTTGGAGAACAATGCAGACAGGATGTGTGGTCAGATAACAGTTCACTGAACAGATTCTGGGAGAAAACACCTTGTGATGTGATGACTGTCCATGTGTTTGATCAGATCCATCAGTTCATCATCACTTCATCAGAGTGGTCCTCCTGCTGCTGACTCTGCTGTTGGTGAACACTGCCCTCTGTTGCTGCTGTAAGGTACTGACACTGTCTGTTGTTTAGAGGACTGACTGAAATGAAGCACTCTGTCTGTTTATTGAACTGAAGAGGGGACTCATGCTGTCGTGTCTCTCCAGGCCTGCAGGGGGCAGAAGCCGGGCAGACAGGAGAACATTGAGCTGGATGATTATAACCTGGGTGTTCCTGCAGCTGGAGGAGGGCCGACTGAAGAGGAAGGAGCTCAGGGAGCAGAGTAGGTCCTCCAAGGAGCTCCTCTCACATCCACATGGATTTCACAGCTGACACACAGCCATCAGCTCAGTCAAGGATTTTACATTTTTAGATAACGTCAGACAAAGATCCACGTGAAAACATAAATCCCACCTGTTCCCTTCAGGCCTCCCTCCAAAACCACTCCCTGAAAACACATGAACACATAGTGGCCGACTGCTGCATCATTAACAATCATTTCATTCAGACTGAATCCAATCACTGGCTGAGCTCATTACAGCAGCCACAGAGACCAGATTGTCTCTCAGAGCATTTTATTGATTCATTGTTGTCGGGATGTAAAAAGAATTTCAACAAATACAACAAAAAGATTCCTCTGAAATACCTACCCTAGCTTTAAGGATGTTGGTTAGTTTTACAATTAAGAATTTTACTTATTTTGTGTGAATTTTGTTTGTGTTTGTTTATTTTACTTGTTTCAGATCAATTTTGTTAACACTCTTAATGAAGGATTTTGCTTATTTTTGCCTATTTTGTATGGAGGCCCTTAGGGGGACATGGGTTTAGTTTTGTGTCCCTGTGATAAATATTTGGAGTGTAAAAAAGCTCTTTAAAGTAAAACCCAAGGGTCATCGTTGTTTGGGAAATATCAAACCAAAGCTACGGAGAGTTTCACAGAGTTTCATTCTGACCTTGGACTCAAACATAAAGACATTATGTCAGAGTTCGAGTACTTTTTCCACCGAGAATATCTCCCTTTCACCAACAGTCCTCTTCGGCTGTCTTTCACTGATTTGAAAACCATGACTAGAACCAAGCACTGACGTAATGTCTCAGCTATGAGCCTCTCCATTGCTTTGGTTTGCTGCTTCCAGAAGTTATTTTTTTAACAAATATTTCTCTATGCAAAAGTGTTTTTTTCTCCCCCATGTCCCTTAAGGGCCGCTGTAGTTTTGTAACTAAGGATTTTGTTTATTTCATACAGATTTTGCTTAACCCCTCGTGACTAACGACTAAATACAGAAATGGCTGAATCTCAAAAACTATAAGGAGTTATATCAAATACTTGGTACCACTGGATTCAACTTCAGTTAAAGCTGCAGTCCGTGTACGTCGGGGAGTGCCGCGGCCGCATTATGAGCCAGTATATCACACGTAAATCAGATGAAGATTACTGTACAAAGCTTACTTCCTGTTTCCAGTAGGTGGCACTGTGACTATGACTGAATATTGGCAAGTAAATGTTTTCAGGCCAAGACTCTCATCAAACACATGAAATTTGAATATTGCAAAAACTGCTGCATAATTGCACATTCAATTCAAAATGGCCGACTTCTTGTTGGGTTTGGGGCATGGCTCCAAGAGGCTTTTTTGTACGTTTGGTCGTGATACATGTGCGTACCGATTTTCATGCATTCCGGTAATACGTGCCGCGGGGGGCTGCAGTTTAACGGCACTGTGGAGCCATTATATGAGATGGAATGACACGTACATTTTCACTAACGCCAACTTTTGTGCCACATTTCATAACTTCAGTTAAGACAAATCATAATTCCCTCAGTGGTCGCTGCTCGGGCCCCAATAATATGTACTTTGATCCAGAGCCAATCTGATATTTAACAAATGTTTTACTCATTCTTGTGATTTTTCAAAATAAAATGACATTTGTCTACCTATCGGGGAAAATTTATATGTGAAATCAAACATTTGGATTTTGCTGTGTGCAGCCACATGTCTCCACAGTTTCCACTGCAGATTTTGTGTTTCCACCTCGAACAGAAAGAATTCTGTGGAGATTTTCCTTAAAATATAATCGTTAGTCGTTAGTTGGTTACGGATTCAGGTTATTTCATAGATGACTGTAATGCAGGGGTCTCAAACTCACACTGTCTTGGGGCCACTGTTGGTATTGTTATCTCCGGGTCAACGTTCAAGTAAGAAAGTGTAATATTCTGAAACTGTTTCCATTACTACAAACAATGCAAACAGCAGTTTCTATACAGTTTTATATCATTCTTGTTGTTTGCAGTCAAATGAGCTTTTCCATTATTTTGCACTAACAAAATATATTTTTAAATAGAATTGTGTTTTTATTGTAATTGTATATGAAGGGGTAGTTTAAATTGATGTGAAATAACCAGAAAAAAATATATTTTTTAAACTGATTATCTTATCGGTCAGATTATATTATAGTTTCGACGTCATGTCTGGGGCCTGAGGGAGGGGATGGAGGGCCAGAAATGGGCCCCGGGCCGGCAGTTTGAGACCCCTGCTGTAATGAATGTATCACCATCATCTACTATGTTAAAAACCATTAAAGCATTTTAATAAACTTTTGCTTATTTCATATGAATTGTGCTCATTTTTATTGGATGAAGAAAATAAAAGCAGGTTAATAAAGTATGAAACTGTGAATGAGCTGATTTTAAGTGCTTCACTAGAATTTCTTGTGTTTTTTCTGTTAGTTGGGAAAATGTTTGGTTTCTTTGTATTCGAGCGCTTTGCATTCACCAGAGAAGAAAACTTAAAAGCCTCGGTTATGACTCACTAGCTCGTTATTACCACACAGCCATTATTAGTCGGGACAAATTCTGCTTATTCTACAGCATTTTCTACCATTCTTGGAAACAACAGTAGTTCCATGTGCGTCAAGCACTGTGCAACCTAACAGCATATCTTAATAAAAGAAGGACGTTAACATAACTTGAATTCAACCCAACTCAAAACTCAATTGTTGAATAACTCAACTGGTTTAAGGGAACTTTTTGTGCAGTATTTCAAGTATTGGTCACATAATTCCAGTTTGTTCCACTGACTCATTTTCTTTAAGTTGACTTTATATAAAACAAAAATGTAATATAGCTTAGTATTTTTACATTTTTGAGATTTGACCTTTTGGAGAATCAATTCATTGTAGATTTTGTATTGTACATCAGCTGTTTGGAGAGTTGCTGCATATGAGTGTAATATACTTACTAGTTTTAATGGAATTGGTACAATTAACCTCATTTACCCAAGTTATCTTCACAATAAATACTTGAGTCAAATCAAATATTGTTAATGCTTCAATTGTTTGAGTTAATAGACTTAAATGATTAAAGGCAGTCGGTTTCCTCAAACAGTTTGAGTTGAACTAACTCATTATGTTTTACAGTGAGACTAAATATAATATGAAAAGCTCTTTCCAGCCAAACAGTTCGACCCGTGTTGAATATTTCTTCAGATTTTCTGCTCAGGCGAGCCCAGAGAACACTTCCACCAAAGGAAATTCAAAGTTTTAGTTGTGGGCACAAATGTGTTAATGATTCATGAGTGCACTCTGGATGTATTAACACTTTACAAACACTAGATGGCGGCAGTGTCCAAGAGTTGAGCAATAAGAGACACTTTAATTTATCTTCCTCATTTAAACTTTGACATTATTTCTTTTTTAAAACACAGATTTCTTGTCTTTCTTTAGAGTAACTGTAGTTAATACTCTAAACTAATGACTGCACCATCCTAAAAGAGGAGTGAAGAAAGCAGAGTGAGATAAGGACGGAGGTTTTTATGGACACACTCTCTCTGCATGAATGTTCAAGGAATAATAGATAGATATGTCAGAAATATATCACCATCAATTATTTGATGCTGCTTTAAAAGTCAACAGTAAAAACATGTTTTATCTGCAATAAAATGATATTTGGACTAAAATGTTGCCTATAATTTACATTATTCTACTTTTACCCCGGAGCTGTGGGTCCCTGTGGACCCCTCATTTCTCCCTCTCTCATGTATTATTTAGGGATTAGTTTGGTCAACAAACTAACCTGAAGTCCAAAAACAGTAAAGTGCAGAGTAATGTGTATGAATATAAAGGGGTAGATATGAATATGCTGTATAGAGTATGAACATGTGCAGCAGCACGTAAACACAACATAAACTGAACTAATAAACCTTAAACTAGATTTGAACTCTTTAAACAGGAGCTCAAAGATGATGTAATAACACAAAATACTGTATTAATCCCCCAGTGGGGAAGCAAGTGCCACCATTACATAAAGGGACAAACAACAGGTCAAGTTACCATTCATTTCTAATTGGTAATTACTCAGTATGTCTCCTGGTATGTATGAAGATTAAACAGTAAATACTGTGTTCAAGCCATTTTCAGGAATAGACCATCTCTCATTTACTAAATGACTTCTCACTACATAACTGAAGAAAACAGATACAGTGAATAAAAATATTTTCTCTTTAACAAACCTTACAAATATTAACAAACCCACCTTTATAACAGTGACTCATTCTGTTCTCTTTACGACACACTGAGAGACACAATGACAAAAATGGTGAAGCAATAACCAAATATATTCAGATGAAAACAAGGTTAACCTGTACAAATATGTACATTTATACATATGCTGTACAGTATTGTAGTATAAAAACTTTGTTGGGAATATATTTACGCTGTGGATGTAAAATCTTACGATCTTAATATCTTTATGTGTATTGTTGGCAAAGCGTTATTGTTCAATAACTTGCTGATCATAAAGAAACTCAGGCAGTTTGATTGACAGGACAGATGATCAGACAGGCAAAGTTTTTACCACCATCATTATTACAGGGACATAAGTATGGGTAGAGTTTCTCAGTGAAGGAGCAGCCAGTAAAGGAGTAGATAAGAGCTGCAGCATCTACATCATAAAAGGAGACCAGACCCTCCTCATAATCCACAAACACCCCCACCTTCTGAGGCTGAGACTGCAGAGAGAGACTGACATGTTGGTAATCAAGAGCTGTGTATTCATTTCCATTTCTCAACCATATGGTCCAGAAACCATACTGAGGGCTCAGACTGATTTCTCCTTTCCTGTTGATCGACTCTCTGACTACTCCTAAATTCCATTTAGTCTTCCCTTTAACTTGAACCTCAAAGTAGAATCTGCCTGAAGAGAAACTCTGCTTTCCTAAGACAAAAACACAATGAGAAAATCTCTGTGGATTGTCTGGGAGAGTCTTACTCGTATCACTATTAGTCACTTGTTTCCCATCAACAGACAGGATGAGGTTGGGATGTGCTGTATCGGGATCAAGAGTCACATCCACTGCATACTGCTGGACCCTCTTCAGCTCAGCATTAAACAGTTTCTTCATCTCTTTACTCCTCTAGCTGAGCCACAGCTCTCACCGCAGTCCCCTCATATGATGGAGGGACACTGACCTCTGTCCAGTCCTTGGTGGGTGGGACATCCTTCAGGGACGGGAAGCTTTGGAAGAGGTGGATGTGGTCTTCAGAGAGTGAGAGCTGGTCCATCTCAGTTCTTCTCTTCTTCAGCTCAGAGATTTCCTGTTCCAGCTCTTTGATGGAGTCTTCAGCTAGTTTCTGTTTCATTCTCTGATTCTCTTCTATAGTTTTGATGAGCTCATTCAGGCCTTTCTCAACAGACTCCATCAGAGACGTGAAGACCTGAACACCTTCTGCTATCTCTCTGTCTGCATTTTCCCTACTGCTGGTTCCATGAAAAAGGAGAAGCATAACTAAAAGCCCTTTTCCCCAGTTCAGTATGGACTCTAGGCACAGTCAGTAAAAACAAGTCCTCAGAGCGGAGCTGATAAGTTCCTGTGCTTTTCTGAATTACATACTTCTGCAGGTATGTAGGAATAACACCGAGGATAGTTTTATAAATTAGGATATGCCAGTGATGGAGTATGCGGGTGGACAGGACAAACCATCCAACTCGAGCATACAAAGAGCAGTGGTGCGTGAGGGTTTTAAAATTAGTAACAAATCTCAGTGTTCCGTGATAGACCCTGTCCAAAGACTGTAGGCATTTTGAAGATGCATTCATATATAAAACATCACCATAGTCCAACACAGACAAAAAGGATGCAGCAACAAGTCTGTTTTTGGCTTCAAAAGAAAAACAAGATTTGTTTCTAAAGTAAAAACCTAATTTTATCTTTAGTTTTTTCAAAAGCTGCTGGATATGAGGTTTAAAAGAGAGAGCATCATCAATTATAATTCCCAGATATTTATATTGAGACACAGATTCAGTGATAGAGCCCTGCAAAGTGGTTATAGGAGGGAGGTCCGAGGGCTTTGATTTAGCTTTTGTGAACAGCATGAGCTTTGTCTTGTCAGCATTTAAAACAAGTTTTAAATTGCACAGTGTTAAAAGCAATTTGAAGCTGACAGAGAGCTTGATTTTGGGTAGACGCAGAGCAATATATCACTGTGTCATCGGCATAAAAGTGAAAATTTGTGTTCGGGGCTTTACAATCCAGACAATTAATGTAAATAGTAAAAAATAAAGGTCCTAGAACCGATCCCTGTGGCACACAGGTTATTTGAAGTTTCAGTAAGGAAATGATCAGCGTTGGCTTTTCTAATTGCCACTGTGCTTGCATTTCGCAGCTGCCTAAAGAGCAGCCAGTCTGATCCAAGACCAGTACTCCTGGCTTTAGACCATGCCACATTGCGCTCATGGAGAAATTGGATAACTCTGGCGTGAACCATGCATTATCCCTGCCCTTTATTCTATACTTCCTAAAAGGAGCGTGCTTGTTAACAATTTCAATAAAACCATCATAAAAGAATTTCCAGGCATTTTCAAATCAGAAATGACATTAATTTTCTCCAAGCAAAATAGAAACCGGTCATGAAAAAATGCTTGCTCCACAAAATGTTTCATGTCCCGCTTTATGATGACACGCGGTTAGTTTTAGGAACTTTTGTATTTCTTACTGTTGCAATGACACAGTGGTCACTGATGTCATTGGCAAAAACAGAAGCAGCAGAATATTTATGAAGAACATCGGTTAAAATGAGATCAATTAAAGAGGATTTTTCCGGACATTTCATATTAGGTCTAGCAGGACTGTCAACAATCTGAAATAAATTAAACGAATCACAAAATGCTTTAACTTACTACTTACTAGTACTTACTAACTTCACTTCTTCCCCGGAGTTCTTGTGCTTTCTCGTCTCGCAGGTTCTTATCGATCCTGGTGGAGCCTCCTGCCATGGTCCTGCTAGATTGCCATTGCCAATACTGTTGTTGCTGTGCACCTGTCTGTCTGTCTGTCTGTCTCTCGCTCTCTCTCTCTCTCTCTCTCTCTCTCTCTCTCTCTCTCTCACCCCAACTGGTCGAGGCAGACGACCACCCACCTAGAGCCGAAGGATCTGTCCTAGGTTTCTGCCTTTTAACAGGCAGTTTTTCCTTGCCCTTGTCTCCAAGGTCTTGCTCATGGTGGTACTGTTGGGTCTCTGTAATTAATGTTATAAAGAGTTCGGTCTAGACCTGCTCTATTTGAAAAGTGTCCTGAGATAACTTCTGTTATGAATTGGCGCTATACAAATAAAATTGAATTGAATTGAATTGAATTAAAATCGTCTGATGCTGGTAGCAGCCAGTTCCAGTTTAGGTCACCAATAAAGACAATTTCATTGAAGTTCAACCCAGATAAAAGCTCCATTAACGATGGTAAGGTGCAGCTGATAGCTGAAGGTGGACTATAGCAGCCGATGACAGTGATGTGGAGAGTTTTTGAGATTTCCATGTCAAGAGCCAGAAGTTCAAATTGCTTACTCACTGATGTAGAGAGACGGATCTTCACATGAAACTTAGATTTGACATAGACTGCAACCCCTCCACCCTTTTTGGGTCGGTCAGTCCTATACACATTATAGCCGTCAATGTTGATATCCTTGTTTAAAACTGCTTTGTTTAGCCAAGTTTCAGATATGACAGTAACATCAGCATCAGTTGTATGAGCCCAGATACGAATCATATCCATTTTGGCAATCATACTGCGCACATTTAAATGGATGAAAGTCCAGACCTCGTTTTAAATTCAGCAGGGGTGTTAAAAATAACAGCAGACTCAGCAAAGCCTGGGCCTGGGTTAGGTTGAACATTCCCTGAAATCAGCAGCAACAGAACAATTATACACCATAATCAGACCTTATACATTTGTTTGAAGGATCTTTTTTAATCTTTAAAATTATAAAAAAGTCACGAAGGCAACTTGAAGGAATAGTAAAGTTGTCTTGTAAAGCCATCAGGCTGACCAGACGGGCCAGGTCCATAGATGCAGGGGGCAGAAGAGTCAAAGGTGACAAACTAATGCCCAGTGGACTGCCAGAAGCGCACGTCCCCCGGCATGGTAAAACCGGAGTAAAGTTGACTGGGCGGGAGTTTTTGGTCCCATGGTGGTTTTCCCCGGTGCCGCTCCAAATTAATAGGAAAAAGGCAGCCACGAGCAGCGACATTGTACGTTGAGATCCAGAAACACGAGGAGAAAAGCAGCCAGACTATTTCACCTCAATCAACGACGCCACACATTATTGCAGGGAGAGTCCTCCAGGAATCAGTTCCGTGGTTTCCCGACCACCCGATCAACTAAGGGCAATACGTGTCGTGTCGTCAGACGTAAACAGGAAATCAAGCCGGTACATCGCTCCGAACAAAGTTAATAAACTGGACCAGCGGGGATCCCAAAAACTAGCCGGAACCAACCCCGGACAGCAGAAAAAAGCAGCAGGAACATGCACTACCCTGATAGATCAACGGCGTGTCCTCCCAGCTCTGCGAGGCGACAGGCTCTGATAGTCCAAGGAGAGGCGATCCAGGTCTTCCCGAGATAACATGAAATAAGCTACTACACTTTAAAAAAAAAAGTCTTGAATGGAAACATGTTTGAATGATAATCTTCGCAGATGACTTACAGAAAAATCACTCAGTCATATTAGTAAAACAAACAGACACAGTTAGAGACAGAAGGAGACGTGTGCTGCCATCTTGACATGTGCTGATGTGGAGATATAAACTTCTTCATTTTAAAGAGCGCCACCTAGTGGCGATGGTCTGAAATTGTGCACGATGCCTAAGGAAGACATGTGGAACTGTGGAACTATGGACCCAAGCTTGGTGTCAATCGGACATACCAATGTGGAGAAATGGTCCAATTCCTTTTTTGACTAAAAATCTACAGGAAGTCTTAATTTTATAGCATGCTTATTTTTTGAAATTTAAAAAATCTTCAAATAACTTTTTTTGCCAGGACGGTCTCCAGATGCTACGTGATAAATTCTGTACGAATCGGACAAAGCACATAGGAGGAACATGAAAAAGTAGTTTATGAACGTTATGCGTCGCGTTTCATGAGTTTTCGAGCACAGGAAAGCCTCCAAATATGCGATTACAAAGTTACTCAAAGAAAATAAGAACCCCTTCAATTACAACAGGGCCTTCGCACGGTCAGTGCTTGGGCCGTAATAACCCAGTAATTTACATCCTAAAAGCAAAATGAACTTTATTACTCACTATATAAATGAAAGTAACAAATACCAGTACACAATTATATTTTATCTTTAACAAACCTTAATAACAAATCTATCTTTTCAACAGTGACACATACTGTTCACTTTCTGTTGATGTTTGTTCCAACCCTGAAGCTGTATGACACACTGTCAGACACAATAACAAAAAGTCAGATAAAAACGAACTTAACCTGTACATGATCACTGAATAAATGAATAAAAATTAGTTTGTGTCTCTCATCCATTGCCCTCCTAGTATTGTCTGTTGTGTCAGTATTGTAGTATGAAAACTTGTCTGGTATATATTTACACTGTGGATGTAAAATCTTAAGATTAGTTTCAAAATATGTGTATTGTTGGCAATGTTTCATTGTTCAATAAATCACTAATGACAGAAAATATCAGGCAGTTTGATTGACAGGACAGATGATCAGAGGGGCAGAGTTTAAACCACAATCATTTTCACTTGGACAGAAGTATGGGTAGAGTTTCTCAGTGAAGGAGCAGCCAGTAAAGGAGTAGATAAGAGCTGCAGAATCTACATCATAAAAGGAGACCAGACCCTCCTCATAATCCACAAACACCCCCACCTTCTGAGGCTGAGACTGCAGAGAGAGACTGACTGAAGGGTCATCATGAGCTTTGTACTCATTTCCATTTCTCAACCACATAGTCCAGAAACCATCCTCAGGGCTGAGACTGACTTCTCCCTTCCTGTCGATAGACTCTCTGGCCAATCCTAAAATCCATTCAGTCTTTCCTTTAACTTGAACCTCAAAGTAAAATCTGCTTGAAGACAAACTCTGCTTTCCTAAGACATGAATATAACGAGAACATCGCTCTGCATTGTCTGGGAGATTCTTCTTCACATCACCATGATTCACTTGTTTCCCATCAGCCGACAGGATGAGGTTGGGATGTGCTGTATCAGGATCAAGAGTCACATCCACTGCATACTGCTGGACCCTCTTAAGCTCGACCTCAGCGAGCAACTTCTTCATCTCTTTACTGAGTGTCTCCTCCAGCTGAGCCACAGCTCTCACCACAGTCCCCTCATATGATGGAGGGACACTGACCTCCGTCCAGTCCTTGGTAGGTGGGACATCCTTCAGGGACGGAAAGCTTTGGAGCAGGGGGATGTGGTCTTCAGAGAGTGAGAGCTGGTCCACCTCAGTTCTTCTCTTCTTCAGCTCAGAGATTTCCTGTTCCAGCTCTTTGATGGAGTCTTCAGCTAGTTTCTGTTTCATTCTCTGATTCTCTTCTAAAGTTTTGATGAGCTCATTCAGGCCTTTCTCAACAGACTCCATCAGAGACGTGAAGACCTGAACACCTTCTGCTATCTCTCTGTCTGCATTTTCCTTACTGAGGTCCACTGACTGTTTGATCTCCTGAATCTTCAGTTGTCTCTTCTGAATCATCTGCTGAATTTCAGCCTCTGTCTTCCCCAGCTCTGCCTTCTTTATTTCATATTCTTCTCTCAGAGGAACAAACTCATGTGTCTTGTGGTCTAAAACAGTGCAGAGCACACAGACACATGTCTGGTCGGTCTTACAGAACAGCTCCAGAGGTTTATCGTGCTTCGTACACATCCTGTCTTCCAGGTTCTCCACAGGGTTGATCAGCTGATGTCTTTTTAGACCTGACATTGTCAGATGAGGCTCCAGGTGAGTCTCACAGTAGGAGACCAGACACACCAGGCAGGACTTCAGGGCCTTCAGTTTGGTTCCAGTGCAGACGTCACAGGGAACTTCTCCTGGTTTGGACACTTGTTGCTCTGGGCTGCTGCTGCTGGCTTTCTGTTGAGCTGACTGTCTGAACTGAGCAACCATGTCAGAGAACAAAGTGTTGACCTTCAAATCAGGTCTTATGCTAAAAGCCTCTTTACACATCGGACACTGGCACCTGTCACTAATATTCCAGTGTTCAGTGATGCAGGTTTTACAGAAGTTGTGTCCACATGGTGTGGTGACTAGATCAGTGAACACATCCAGACAGATGGAGCACAGGAACGGATCTTCAGATGGCAGATTGCTGGCAGCAGCCATATCTACAAACCGAGAATGAAAGTGAAAGTGTAAAGAACATTTCAAGTAAATCTGTAGTGAAATCATTATTAATAAGTGTCTCAGAAATATAAAGTATAAATATAAGAATGATGACATCAAACAACAGGTTGGAAAACAGAAACACTTGGTAAGTATTATAAAAGATATTCAGCCTCATGCAAGAAGTGATCGAGAGTTTTTACTTATGAAGTTAAAAACTAAACACCTTGTTTTCAAAATCCACAAATTGTTTGCGAAGAAAATACAGGTTTTACATTTGAGGAACATAAAAACAGATTAAATTATATGTTTCAGAGTAATTATACTGAAGGGATTGTTACATTTGTGGGCTAAAGAAATAATATTGGTCCACTGATTCCTGTTAAAACTATAAAACAATAAATGAGACGGATGAATTGCTGCTTTAGGTTTGTGCAATAATCTGGAGCCTCAACACACTCAGGTTAAATCCCTGCACACCTGCAACACTGCTGTTACTTTTTAGATTATATTCAACTTTATTGTTAAGTACAAAGACAACGAAATGCAGTTAAGCATTTAACCAGAAGTGCAAAAAGCAGTAGTAAGAGTAATGTACATATGTTCAGGGATATAAAAAATAACAATATAAATATATATATGAATATGCTAGCAAGATATATAAAGTATGAACAGAATGAACGTAGTGAAGTGAATACACTAAGATATATATACAGCTTGTGCAGCAGCAGCAACAGTTTCAATCGCAAACAGTATAAAAAAGTGTAATTATAGTGCGGGTAAATTAAGTTAAGATATGTACAGTATGAACAGTATTAGCAGTAAATCCCTATTCAGACTTTTACTGCAGTTATTGGACCATAGCTGGTTTCTAATGGTCCACGCTGGAAAATCACATTTACTTTAACTTTATTTAACACATATGTCGAATCCACTACACTGCTGAAGTTCTTACAGGTATATATCTTAAATATCTATCTATCTATCTATCTATCTATCTATCTATCTATCTATCTATCTATCTATCTATCTATCTATCTATCTATCTATCTATCTATCAAGCCTTTGTTTAGTGGCATCTTTCCAGTTCTTGGCCACGTGCCACAGTAGTTGCACATTACACACCACCTGCCTTCATAAAGTGTTTAGGGAGTGTTTCCATTTGTCGTAACAGAGCAACAATAGAAATTTAAGAGGATGTTGCTTCCTGAGGTCCTTTATTTTATATATATTTATCATTTGTATAAAACAATGATTACTACAATATTGAGAAGCACGTGTTTCACTTAACTGAGAATGAAAAGAGTAACTCCCTGTTTGATTAGAGCTGTTAGTTTAGTGTTAATGCTGGTTGTTCAAATACAGTAAATATTATCAGCTGCACTCACCAGTATTTGAGTCAGTTGTTGAGAAAGTCCTGATCAGTTTATTATTTCTTCACACCGAAACACAGAGACTGGTCTCTGCTGCAGCTCTGCTGTAACTCTGGCAAACTCTAAGTTTCATTTCAGGAGTGTGACGTTGAAGCTCTCGTATTTCCATTGTTGCTCCGACTCTAACTGCAGCTCTGATTGTGAGGTTGTGTTTCTTTGGTTAACTATATGAATAATTTGCCAGATGTTTATTTATTTTAGTTTTTATATTTATTCTGTGTTTTTTGTTTTTAAAGAGGTCTATCCCACAAATTATTTTGGGTCAAAAAAACCTTTATTCTTCTTGTGTTTGTTGATGTTCTGACCCTTTCATGTTATTCTTATATTTGTTTCTCTCCTATAGTTGTTACTAAATGAGGAAGTTGAGAGGTGTGTGCAGTCTTTCCACTCCTCTAACAAACCCTCCTCCCTCTGATGTGTGCTGTTATGTTGAACTCTAGTGGCAACAACAGGGAAACACATCCAACCTGTCAAAATAAAGCACTTCCACAAACAGTTTCTTCTTCTGCACAGGATTTTACTGCAGTGATACTGTACAGCAGAGTATAAAATGTGTTTTTATTCACTTTACAGCATTTGTTTTAGTCACTGACATATATCAACATTTTCTGTCTTTTTAGAATGAGGTTGAGGACTAAGTCACTTATTTAAAACAACCTATGATGGACTTTTTATCTGGTAATTATGGTACTCAAACACAAACTGAACAGCCACCAAAGTGCTTTATACATAAAAGATCAAAAATGAAAACAAGTCAAAGAAATAAAAGGTAAAATAGTAAAGTAGTATAAATGGTGGAATATAATTTATGAAAATGTGACTTTTTTAAAGCAGTAATTTCTTTAAGCCAATTTCAGTTCTCATTCATTCAAAATAAACCTGTATGTTGTTGTTGTGAAGGCACGTGGTTGTTCACTGATACCAGCCCTGTTCAGCTGTAAAATGGTTTCATATGAAAAGGTCGGAAAAGCATCGTCCCCATTAACATTTATACAGATCAATAGAATTAGACCCACAGCAAGTTAAGTACACACTAAGTAAGATCTTAAAGACAAACTAAATTAACTCTATGACTACAATTGCATCCGTAACACAGTAATTTATGTCCTAAAAGCAAAATGAACTTATCACTACTTCATTAACTGTAGAAGAGAACCATTAAACAAACACATGTATATTTTCTCTTAAAGAAGCCTTACAATTAAAAAAAATCCACCTTTTTAACAGTGACGGTACTCTTTCTGTTGATGATCCAACCCTGAAGCTATTGACACAGAGAGAGAAAATATTCAAGCACAGAACGACCAATCATATCAGATGAAAGCATGTTTACACTGTACATTAATACTTCATATGTACATTTGTTACCATAACTGACAGCTTACTATGTCTGCTCTGCTAATATTGTAGCATGAAACCTTTGTCTGGTATATGGTTGATTCAAAATGTTAAGATTAATTTCACAGGTCTATGTTTCATTGTTTAATGATTTGCTGAAGATAAACAATATCAAGCAGTGTGACTGACAGGACAGATGATCATTGGGGCAGAGTTTAAACCACCATCATTCCTACAGGGACTGAAGAATGGGTAGAGTTTCTCAGTGAAGGAGCAGCCAGTAAAGGAGTAGATAAGAGCTGCAGCATCGACGTCATAAAAGGAGACCAGACCCTCCTCATAATCCACAAACACCCCCACCTTCTGAGGCTGAGACTGCAGAGAGAGACGGACTGGAGGGTCATCAAGAGCTTTGTACTCATTTCCATTTCTCAACCATATGGTCCAGTAACCCTCCTTGGGTCTCATTGTGATTTCTCCCTTCCTGTTGATGGACTTTCTGACCACTCCTAAATTCCACTTGGGCTTTCTTTTAACTTGAACCTCAAAGTAGAATCTGCCTGAAGAGAAACTCTGCTTTCCTAAGACAAAATTATAATGAGAAAATCTCTCTGGGTTGTCTGGGAGATTCTTTCTCCTGCCACCATGATTCACTTGCTTCGCATCAGCAGACAGGATGAGTTCAGGATTTGCTGTATCAGGATCAAGAGTTACATCCACTGCACACTTCTGGAGCCTCTTCAGCTCGGTCTCAGCAAACAGTTTCTTCATTGCCTTACTGAGTGTCTCTTCCAGCTGAGCCAATGCTACCACCACAGTCCCGTCATATGATAATGGAGGGATACTGACGTCTGTCCAGTCCTTGGTAGGTGGAACATCCTTCAGGGATGGGAAGCTTTGGAGCAGGTGGATGTGGTCTTCAGAGTGTGAGAGATGGTCCACCTCAGTGCTTCTCTTCTTCAGCTCAGAAATTTCCCGTTCCAGCTCTTTGATGAAAGCTTCAGCCTGTTTCTCGGTTATTCTTTGCCTCTTCTGGATTCCACTGATGAGCTCGTTCAGGCCTCTCTCAACCGACTCCTTCAGAGAAGTGAAGACCCGAACCCCTTCTGCAACCTCCACGTACGCATTTTCCTTACTGAGCTTCACTGAGTGTTTGATCTCCTGAATCTTCTGTCGTTTCTTCTGGATTATCTGCTGAATTTCAGCCTCTGTCTCCACCAGCTCTGCCTTCTTTACGTCATATTCTTCTTTCAAAGGAGCAACTTCATGTGTCTTGTGGTCTAAAGCCGGACAGTGCGTGCAGACACATTCCTGGTCGGTCCTACAGAATAGCTCCAGAGGTTTATCGTGCTTCGTACACATCCTGTCTTCCAGGTTCTTCACAGGGTTGATCAGCTGATGTCTTTTCAGACCTGACACAGTCAGATGAGGCTCCAGGTGAGTCTCACAGTAGGAGACCAGACACACCAGGCAGGACTTCAGGGCCTTCAGTTTGGTTCCAGTGCAGACGTCACAGGGAACTTCTCCTGGTTTGGACACTTGTTGCTCTGGGCTGCTGCTGCTGGCTTTCTGTTGAGCTGACTGTCTGAACTGAGCAACCATCTCAGAGATAAAAGTGTTGACCTTCAAATCAGGTCTTGTGGTAAAAGCCTCTTTACACATCGGACACCGGCACCTGTAATTAATATTCCAGTTTGCAGTGATGCAGTTTTTGCAGAAGTTGTGTCCACATGGTGTGCTGACTGGATCAGTGAACACATCCACACAGATGGAGCACAGGAACTGATCCTCAGACAGCAGATTGCTGGCAGCAGCCATATCTACACACTGGGGACAAAAATCAGAGTATTATAAAATGCTTTGTTTCACATGAATTTAACATTTGTCTTCAAAAAGTCATTTTGAGTTCTATAGACCTGTTTATTCATGTGAGAGGCGTCATTATGAAATCAAGAGTTTAACTTCCTATTTGTTTAGAGTTGTAAGTTAAAGAACCAGTGTGTAGTGTTACACGCTCACGCCTTCTTCTGCTCTCTCTGGTTCCTGATTGGGATAATCGGTTAATGGTCTTGCCCCCATTAAGGGAAGCTAGAGGAGCTCTCACTTTCTCCGTCTTCTGATCCATTTAGAGTTACATTCTTTTCGCTGGTAGTCCAATTTTCCAATGTCCAATCTTTGTTTGTCAAAAGCTCTGTGTCCTACGGCCCATTACAGGGATGCCCAGACCTCCAGAATCCCACAGTTTTTGTTCATTTATGGCATTATTTGTAAGATAAAATCCTTTAGTGGCATCTAGCTGTTAGAAACTTAAACTTAAACCTCTTGACTCAACCAGAGAAACTATGGTGGCCATCAATGGCCCTATCTAACCAACATTGGCTGTGTTTGGTTTGTCCGTGCTAGGCAGACTCACAACCGCTCTCTAAAGGCTTGGCTCAAGTGAGACTTTCTCACAGGCTGTAGCCAATAGCACTGTGTGTTACGTCCCCCCAGTCCAGCAGCTGTAGTGGATCCATTAACTGACTCTGTTGCTCCCAGTGAACAGCAGGTGCAGAGTGGGACTGAATGCACCACCTGATGCTGACAGAGGACAGTTTGACCACAGGGAATAAAGTACAGATGTGGTTTTATAGCTGGTCTTGGCTCCTGCCACCCTGGAGCTAGCTGCACGAGCTAACAGCATCTAATAGCAACAAGTCCATCTGGATCTCCATAAATCACCTCTGTACTGCTGTCGTCAAACTGTCCTCTGTCTGTCTCGGAGGTTGTGTTCACTGGGAGGCTGCTGAGCCTTGTTCAGTTGCTAACCCTCACCTTTCACCCAAATCACTGATAACGTTGTGTGTTTGTACAGAAGATTGACAGGTGAATGATATTATTGGTAGAAATGAGTTCATGCTGACGTCAGCACGCGTCACACTGGTACAGCGTTAGGACATGAAGTCAAGCTCAGCTCACAGTTTCAGCTGATCGCAGTTGATCGTAAACACACATCAGTTGATTCCCTTCAAGCATCCAATTGGCAAATGTCATTCAGGTCATTTTTGGCCTATAAATTGTAAATTAATTAGGGGTACTATATAACTGAGGATGCAGTCTTAAAGGGTTAAAATGACTCCCTCCCTCCATGTTACATTCGCTTTATCTCCAGTTTGTTTCACTACGGAGGAGAATCACTCCAGCTCCGGTGTGTCCTTGAAGTAAAGGGTGTACATTTGTTGGCGGGAGATCTCAATCAACTACTTTGCATTTAGAAATCCCCAGATGATTGGTCGGCACTGAGATCTCCAATGGTCTGGTATTGCGAGACTACTCTCTGAATTACTGTAGAAACATGGCAGACTACGTGGACTCCCTGACATCAGCAGATATAAACAACACAACAGCCTAAATGAATCCACCCCCAGTCATATTAATACTCACATTCCTCGAGGCACTGGCCGAGGAGGTGGAGTAGCAGCTATATATGATTCGAGCGTTTTAATGGACCCTAAACCTAAACTAAATTATAATTCATTTGAAAGCCTTGTTCTTAGTCTTTCTCACCCAAACTGGAAAACACTGCAGCCAGTTCTATTTGTTATAGTGTACCGCGCTCCTGGACCGTACTCTGATTTTATATCTGAATTTTCAGAGTTTCTATCAAGCTTAGTCCTTAAATCAGATAAAGTAATTATTGTAGGTGATTTTAATATTCATGTGGATGTTGACAATGACAGCCTTAGTAATGCATTTATATCATTAATAGACTCAATTGGCTTCTGTCAGAGTGTAAATAAACCAACTCATTGTTTTAATCACACTCTTGACCTTGTTTTATCATATGGCATTGATATTGAACATTTAATAGTCTTCCCACATAATCCTTTCCTATCTGACCATTATTTGGTAACTTTTGAATTCATACTATTAGATTATAAGCCATTAGGCAAAACTTCCTACAGCAGATGTCTATCTGACAGTGCTGTAGCTAAATTTAAGGAGGAGATTCCTTCAGTGTTTAATTCAATGCCATGTCTGAAATTAACAGAGTCCTATAACAACTTTAGTCCCTCTGAAATTGATAATCTTGTCGATAGTGCTACAGGCTCACTACGATCAACATTAGACTCTATCGCTCCTATAAAAGGAAATTATTAAAACATAGGAGACTAGCACCTTGGTATAACCACCAAACCCGCCAGTTAAAACAAATAGCTAGGAAATCTGAAAGGAAATGGCGCTCTTCCAAATTATCAGAATATCGCTCAAATTGGCAAGATGATCTTAAGATTTATAGAAAGGCCCTCCGTGTGCCAGAGGAGCCTATTACTCAGCACTAATAGAAGAAAATAAGAACAACCCTAGGTTCCTCTTCAGCACTGTAGCCAGGCTGACAGAGAGTCACAGCTCTATCGAGCCACATATCCCCATAAACTTAAGTAGCAATGACTTCATGAGCTTCTTCTATAATAAAATTATTACTATTAGAGAAAAATTAATCACCAACTGCCATCAACAGTTATCAGTGGCTCTCAAGTTCAGGGACTTCTGTCAATGTAAACTTAGATGTATATTTAGACTGTTTTTCTGCTATCGATCTTCATCAGTTAACTTCAATATTTCTTCTCGAAGCCATCAACCTGTCTGTTAGACCCGATCCCAACTACGCTGTTAAAGAAGTTGTTCCCTTAATTGGCACTTCTTTACTGGATATGATTAATCTTTCTTTATTATCAGGATATGTACCACAGTCCTTTAAAGTAGCTGTAATTAAACCCCTTCTTAAAAAGTCTACTCTTGACCCGGGGTTTTAGCCAACTATAGACCGATTTCTAACCTCCCGTTCCTCTCTAAGATTCTGGAGAAAGTAGTCGCCAAGAGTTGTGTGACTTTCACATAACAATAGTTTATTTGAGGATTTTCAGTCAGGATTTAGAGTTCATCATAGCACAGAGACAGCTCTGGTTAAAGTTAATAATGACCTTCTGACTGCTTCTGACAATGGACTTGTCTCTGTACTTGTATTATTAGATCTTAGTGCTGCATTTGACACCATTGACCATGATATTCTTTTACAGAGACTTGAGCATCAAATTGGCATTAAAGGAACTGCCCTAACCTGGTTTAAGTCATACTTATCAGATCGTACTCAGTTTGTACATGTTAACGATGAATCCTCCATAAATACTAAAGTTAGTCATGGGTTCCACAAGGTTCTGTACTTGGACCAATACTATTTACTTTATATATGTCCCTTTGGGCAACATTTTAGGAATCACTCCATTAACTTTCACTGTTATGCAGATGATACGCAGTTATATCTATCAATCAAACCCAATGAAATTAATCAATTATCTAAATTACAAACATGTCTTAAGGACATAAATCCTGGATGACCTGCAATTTTCTGATGTTAAACTCAGAAAAACCGAAATTCTTGTTCTTGGCCCCAAAACCTTAGAGACTCATTGTCTAAAGATATAGTCACTCTAGATGGCATTAACTTGGCCTCTAGCACCACTGTCAGGAATCTTGGAGTTATCTTTGATCAGGATTTGTCATTTAACTCCCATAAAGCAGACCTCTAGGACTGCCTTCTTTCATTACGTAATATTAGAAAAATTAGACACATACTATCACAGACAGATGCAGAAAACTAATCCATGCATTTGTTACTTCAAGGCTGGATTACTGCAACTCTTTATTATCAGGTTGCCCCAATAAGTCCATTAAAACGCTCCAATTAATTCAGCGCTGCGCAGTACTGACAGGAACTAGAAAAGAGATCACATCTCTCCTGTACTAGCTACTCTGCATTGGCTCCCTATAAAATGTAGAATTGAATTTAAATACTCCTCCTCACCTATAAAGCTCTTCATGGTCAGGCCCCTTCATATCTTAAAGAGCTCATGGTACCCTATTACCCCACTAGAACCTACGTTCTCTGAATGCTGGGCTACTTGTGGTTCCTATAGTCTCTAAAAGTAGAACGGGAGCCAGAGCCTTCAGTTACCAGCTCCTCTCCTGTGGCAGCTTCCAGTTGTGGTTCGGGAGGCAGACACCCTCACCACTTTCAGAGTAGGCTTAAGACATTCCTCTTTGATAAAGCTTATAGTTAGGGCTGGATCAGGTGAGTCCTGAACCATCCCTTAGTTATGCTGCTATAGGCCTAGACTATCGGGGGATTTCCATGGTGCACTGAGCTACTCTCTTCCTCTCTCTTTCTGCACTATTCATGTCCCTTTAATGCATGTTACTAACTCCACTTCTTCCCGGAGTTCTTGTGCTTTCTCGTCTTGCAGGTTTCATGGATCCTGGTGGAGCCTCCTGCCTGGTCCTGCTTGACTGCCATTGCCAATACTGTTGTTGCTGTGACCTGTCTGTCTGTTGTCTGTCTGTCGCCTCTCCTCTCTCTCTCTCTCTCTCTCTCTCTCCTCCCCCAACTGGTCGAGACAGACGACCACCCACCTGAGCCGGAGGATCTGTCCTAGGTTTCTGCCTTTTAACAGGCGTTTTTCTTGCCCTTGTGCCAAGTGCTTGCTCATGGTGGTACTGTTGGGTTCTGTAATTAATGTTAAAGAGTTCGGTCTAGACCTGCTCTATTTGAAAGTGTCCTGAGATAACTTCTGTTATGATTGGCGCTATACAAATAAAATTGAATTGAATTGAATTGAACAGTTCCAACACATTCAATCTTACACACTGGACCTTTAATGCTGGTTGTATATTATCAGCTGCACTCACCAGTATTTGACTCAGTCGCTGATAATCTCAGTTTATTATTTCTTCAGACAGAAACACAGACTCTGGTCTCGGCTGCAGCTCTGCTTTAACTCTGGCAAACTTTAAGTTTCATTTCAGGAGTGTGACAAAGCTCTCCTCTTTCCAGTGTTGCTCCGCCTCTAACTGCAGCTCAGAGCTTGTTTCCTCTTTCAGGGTTAGACTGTAGTTAAAGACGTGTGACAGATAAGAAGTTCAATGTTTAGGGAGACTTTACACTGTTTTTATGGTCTTTGTTCTGCTGTGTGAGGTCAAAAGGTCAAGAATATAACCCATTACAGTCCTCTACAGCTCTCTGTTCGTCCTGTACCCTCCTGTAGTTTCTTTCTTTCCTGGATATCAAACTCTGCTGCCTATGTTCACCTCTGGTGGCCACAGGAGGGAAACACACCTGACTGGACTTGGAGCCGAAGACTCCAGTTTCAAAATAAAACACTTTTACAAGCATTGTGTCCTGATGAAATGTTGCACGGAAACTCAGCATTATATTAAAGATCATAATAATAACAGTTATAGCTACAATTTCTATACCAGAATCAGCTTTATTTATGGTAACCTGTGTGTACATATATTGATTATGGACAACCTGACCAACCCCCTATATCTTAATCATAACCCATTCATGCCTAACCCTAACTAGGACCTCAGACACAATGTTTTGCCACTTTATGGCCGGTCCTTGGTCCCCATGAGGACTACAAGGTCAGTGTTTGTACCATAAAAGGTTCCCAATAAGTAACAGACACATATATTGTTTATACCTTGGGCAATGCACAGGAGGGGGAACTGGCACCTCACCAGTCCACACTCCATACTGTGGTCTATGCTGGAACCAGCAACCCTCCAGTTCTCAGATCAGGTCCCTACAGACTTAAAGCTTTATCTAAATAAAGTATTCAGATTTTATCTTGCAACCATGCATATATTTTAGGTTGGTGATAATAGGTCCACTGATTTATTTATGTGTATTATTATTTGATACTGTACATTTATTTATTTGTGCATTATTATTTGATACTGTATACTTATTTGTGTGCATTATTATTTGATACTGTATACTTATTTATTTGTGCATTATTATTTGATACTGTATACTTATTTATTTGTGCATTATTATTTGATACTATATACTTATTTATTTGTGCATTATTATTTGATACTGTATACTTATTTATTTGTGCATTATTATTTGATACTGTATACTTATTTGTGCATTATTATTTGATACTGTATACTTATTTATTTGTGCATTATTATTTGATACTGTATACTTATTTATTTGTGTGCATTATTATTTGATACTGTATACTTATTTATTTGTGCATTATTATTTGATACTGTATACTTATTTATTTGTGCATTATTATTTGATACTGTATACTTATTTATTTGTGCATTATTATTTGATACTGTATACTTATTTATTTGTGTGCATTATTATTTGATACTGTATACTTATTTATTTGTGCGCATTATTATTTGATACTGTATACTTATTTATTTGTGTATTATTATTTGATACTGTATACTTATTTATTTGTGTATTATTATTTGATACTGTATACTTATTTATTTGTGCATTATTTGATACTGTATACTTATTTATTTGTGTATTATTATTTGATACTGTATACTTATTTATTTGTGTATTATTATTTGATACTGTATACTTATTGAGTGCATTATTATTTGATACTGTATACTTATTTATTTGTGTATTATCTGATACTGTATACTTATTTATTTGTGTATTATTATTTGATACTGTATACTTATTGAGTGCATTATTATTTGATACTGTATACTTATTGAGTGCATTATTATTTGATACTATATACTTATTTATTTGTGCATTATTATTTGATACTGTATACTTATTGAGTGCATTATTATTTGATACTATATACTTATTTATTTGTGCATTATTATTTGATACTGTATACTTATTTATTTGTGTATTATTATTTTATACTGTATACTTATTTATTGAGTGCATTATTATTTGACACTGTATACTTATTTATTTGTGTATTATTATTTTATACTGTATACTTATTTATTGAGTGCATTATTATTTGATACTATATACTTATTTATTTGTGCATTATTATTTGATACTGTATACTTATTTATTTGTGCATTATTATTTGATACTGTATACTTATTTATTGAGTGCATTATTATTTGATACTGTATACTTATTTATTTGTGCATTATTATTTGATACTGTATACTTATTTATTGAGTGCATTATTATTTGATACTGTATACTTATTTATTTGTGCATTATTATTTGATACTGTATACTTATTTATTTGTGCATTATTATTTGATACTGTATACTTATTTATTTGTGCATTATTATTTGATACTGTATACTTATTGAGTGCATTTAAACTTTTAACTACGTTCATCGTGTATTTTATTTTGAAGGTTGCAGCAGGAAGTCCAGCTCAGTGTGTTTTGCTAAGGGGGGGGGATCTGGTTCTGAACTTCTCCAGTGCTGTACCGTCTGAGAACACTGACCCGGTTCTGTTAGGGGAGTTGGAGGGTGTAACTGTCCGTGTTAGGGGGCTCGGACAGCGGGCTGCTGCGTTCACTGACCCGCTCTGATTCTTACAGCCGCTGTTAGCCTGCGGATGCTAACTGCAGCTAGCCTCCAGCGACCGACAGAAAGTCCTCCTCTGTTCCTCTAACTGACAGTTTCCCCCCCCACCGCGGCGGCACCGGCACCGGCACCGGCACCGGGAGGGATGTGGAGGGTAACTTTACGGGCCTTCGCTGTTCTGCTGCTGGCCTGGTTCTTCGGGAACTTTGTTTTGGGTTGGTTTCAACAGAACACCGCGAAACCTCAAACGCAGCACGACGAGCGACCGAACCGCGGAGCTGCGGAGGACCAGAACCGGGACCAGAACCAGGACCAGGACCAGGACCAGAGCTGCTTCTGCCACGTAAGTTACCCCCCCTGTGGCACCGTGGGGGGGGGGGGCTGTTAAAGCTTTTAACGTTCCGGAAGTCTTCCAGCATTTTCTACGGTCCTCTTAATGTGACGTCACCGCGTGTGATGCTAGCTGCCGTTAGCAGCGATGCTAACAGTGTTAATTTACTGTCGGCCATTAAAGTTAGTCTCTGTACACACTGTCGGTTCAACTGCTCTTTATTCTTCTAATTAAACTCTTACAGACGAGGCTCGTTAGCGGAAGTTGGTGTTTCTTTTTAAAACATATATTTATTGATTTTATTGATTTAACACGCGCACATATTTGACTGATCACAGCTGGTTGTGATAATAAAATCAATTTAACACTTAAAGTAGAACATCTGTTGAAAAGTGAGTAAATAATAAAAAATAAATAAATAAAATAAGAATGAAGTCTCGAGGCTTTTACAGTAAAATGAGTCGTTACTATGACGACAATTAAAAAAGCATAAATATCCAAATTTCGTGACGCGACGCTGTTTGAGGAGAAAAGCGTGGTGTGCTCTGATTGGCTGCGGCCGACCTCCCGTCTCGTGCCCTCTCATGGGAGTTGTAGTTTTTTGCGCCACCGCCAACAAGCGCCACTAACGGCATCAGACCCGGAAGTGGACTACAAACTGGGACGCGCCGTCTGTAGGGGGCGGGGTTTAACTTTGACAGCTGCTTGTTTTGGAGGCGGGGCCGGGGGCGGGGGGGCGTGGGGGGGCATGGGACTGGAGGTCTGTAGTGACAGCTCAGCCCACAGACAGAGGAGCTGCTGCTCTGCTGCTGCTGCTGGGGCTGCTGGGACATATGGCGTTCGCACAGAGGAAGTTTTAGTTGGAAGGAAGTTAAAAGACAGAAAACAGAAGTTAAAACCAACGACAGCATGCTGAGAGGACTTTCCTTCTTCCTGCCTCTCCTGACGCTCGGGGCGCCGCTGTACTCAGAGGTCAGCTGGGGTTTTCTACCGTTCGGAGACTTTACAGGTGTTTCTGTCGGCTGGAGGGGAAATTCAGACTTCCTGTAAAACCGGAGAGAATAAAAGTAAAGTTTAAATGAGCAGGAGAGGATCACATCGGAGGTTTTATCTGCTGCTCATCAGACACCTGAAGCTTCCATATGTTGGGCCGTATCTCACTGGGATCATTTCACTTTGTTTGTTTGTATAAAAACAGTTTATTTACGCAGTAAGACCAACATTTCTATCTGTAGTATGACAGCAGAGCCTTATTCTACTGTCAGGAGTTTAAATACATTTTAATATCAGCGTGTGTGCAGAAAGTAAACCGTTAACAAAGTGTTTACTTTCTGTCTAACGTCATAAAAACAGAACTTCAGAGTAAATAAAGAGTATAAATGGTGCAATACAAATAAAGTCTGATGTGAAATATAAAGTATAAACGGACATTAAATAATAAAAGAGATATTTCTCAAATGTTCTGGTTTATTAATTAATTATCAACTTCTATGAAAGAAAACCTCCATGTTAAACTCATCCGAATTTACTGTTCATTAATTCGTCTTAATTACTTTTTAATTATTTGAATGTTTCTGACAATAAAAGTTGAACACAGAAACGTCGATATGGAAGAGCTATAGCGTTTCTCCCCACGCGGCGGCGGTGGTGGCGGCGGCGTCCATTGGAGGCGTCTGTCAGTAACTCGGGTGAACACCACTCGGAGAGAGAGCCGATGCAAATAACCAAACCAAACGAGACCAGAAGGATAACAGAGGTTGGAAATAGACTCACCCACTGAGGGTTCAAGGAACGGTTCAATAGATTTACTTTATTAATCAGTTAATCAGTTATCAATCAGGTCTTTTTTAAGCCAAAAGAAAAAACTTTCATCTTCTGTGACAGAAAACTGAAATTCTTTGGAGGGTTTTTGGACAAAAAATATGATTTGAACGCGTCGATTAGAGCTTCTGACATTTTATATCCCAACAATGAATCTGTTTGTGAGGAGATAGTCTTCAGATCAATAATGACACTGTGAGTCAGCTGTGAGACACGCTGTTGTTTCTGCAGGTGAAGCAGGCGTGTCCGTGGATTAAGACTCCTCCTTTAATTAGCGCCGCCCGCCGTTTACTGAGCTCATTGACGTTGTCAGAGTTGATCCGCAGGTCAAACACATTTGTCTCAGCTCCACCTGAATCCGACCCGCTCGGGTTCAGGTGGCAGCGTCTCACAGCAGCGACACATGTATTATGTATGGACGTACCTGTCAGACTGTGTGCGTCCACTGCTCAAACAGCACGCTGCAGGAGGAGGAACACGGATATTAAAGAGTGAATGTGAGAAACAATAAGTGGACCAGGACTCATTCATTGAAGAATAAGTTGATGAGTTTGTGAGTGAAACACAGAAACAATTACATTTCAGAACAATGTGACCAACTCTAAAAGCTCCTGAATCCTTTAACTTAAGATATCTTATCAAACCACTGCTACTAAAACCAACTTAACAACATGGTGTAGATCCTGCTGCGGTTATTTGGTTTCTTTAATATTTGGTTGTTTCCTGTCTCTGCTGCAGCTGACCGGAGTCCTGGACGACTGCTTCTGTGATGTGGAGAGCATCGACGTCTTCAACAACTTCAAGCTTTACCCTCGAATCAAGAAGCTGACGGAGAAAGACTACTTCAGATACTACAGAGTGAGAATGCTGTGTGAGAGTCCAACAGGAGAGGCTCAGGAACTCAGTCAGCTTCTAGAGTCGGCGGCACCACGGTCACTTCAGACGTAACCCAACTAGTTCGGATGTAACGTCTCAGCGTAGCCGCGTAGCCTTTCTGTCTTAGCATCGTAGCACGATGCTGTTTGATGCTGTTTTCCCACACACCCTGGAAAACCTGGAAAATTAGAGGCTAGTTTTCCAGTTACATTACACCTGGAAATTTAAATTGTGTTTTACTCCGTCACTCAGATCTCCTACGTTAACCTGGGTGCAGCTTTAGTTTGAGACTCGACTGTTGTTTAGATGAACGCTGTGATGGTTCGCAGCCGGTTTACCAGACATGGAGACGAACAGAGTTGTAGCGAGCTTTTTGGTGCCGAGTCATCGATGTTATGAAACTGTGGTCAATTCACCGTAGACCGCTTTTAAAGCAGATTGTCCCATAAAGGCTGAACCACCTACCTGTAAACCGCCCGGTTCATGAAGGAGGAATAAAACTTGAGTTAAATGTGTCAATACGAGTATAATATACAATAATGTACTGTAATATAATACAATTGTATGAGCAAATCCTGTCCTGGAAAAGGATTTCTTAAAGGAGTGGAAACCCAGGTTTTACCACCAGTAATAAACTCACTGATTCAATGATTTACACTCCTGTAGAGGCATGTGGAACTATTCAGATGCTACTGCTTTTATTTTGGTAACGCGTAAATCACAACTTGGTAACAATGTGAGTTATAATAGATTAAACTTCCACACAGCTGATTGAACAGTTGAACAGCAGACCTTCACGCATTGTCACAGCAAACACTGAACGTTGAGTCATTTGTATTTTCTTCCTCTTTTCTGTAAACTGCACTTTCCTCTCGTAGTGAGTAACAGTCGGCGGTGTGTGGGGACGAAAATCAGTTCATCTCCTTGTTCAAAGATGTGTTACATTGTGCAGAACGTCTGATAAATCCACGTCCTTCACTGTCCGGTCCCCTGATGTCCTTCAAAATCAGTTACAGCTGTTAATGTTCTCAGGCGAGTGTTTATCTGAGTGCTGTAGGGAGTTGCTGCTGTAAACGGCGCTTTGTAGAGGACGCACCCTGATATTCAGGTTCATGCTCATTTTAAACAGAACCTGTCTGTGTGGATCCCTTACTGTGCTGTCTGCCTGCTGTACCTGCAGACAGGTGCAGTTTTAGTGTTCACCTACATTTAGCAGCGTTGTTTTTTTGTTGAGATTACTTTATTTGTCCCTCGGGGAGTGTGTCTTTGACATAGAGGTACACACAGTTACACACACGTGCATTCAGATACAACACACTCCTTATGTCCTGACTTTAGAGAGATTCCCTGAGCAATGAAAGAGTTTTTATATCCACTCAGATCCCGATTATTTTCATGATTGTTTGGTCTGTAAATTGTCAGAAAATGGAGAGAAATGTTTCTTTTACCCAAAGATATTTACTTTAGGTTTACTTTAACAGGACTAACGGTTAAAGCTATTTTCTGTCTTTGCTCCAGGTGAATCTGAAGCGACCGTGTCCCTTCTGGCCCGACGACGGACATTGTGCCATCAAGGACTGCCATGTGGAGCCCTGTCCTGAGGTCAGAGGTCAACCACACCCACATACAGTTTAATGATAATAATCTTATTCATAGAGCACTTTTGTAGATACTCACAGACAGATTCATGGCATAATAATCATGTTAAAGGTCCGGTATGTAACAAATATAATAGAATATTCATAGGCATGTTGGCCACCGTAGTTTTTCCTACACACTTAATAGGCTGAGCTGTATTCAAATAGTTTCAATCTGCAGCTTCACCACCAGATGTCACTGAGTCCTCCACACTGGTCCTTTAATACGAGCACACAATGTACTTTTAACATCTGTCTGCGCTTCCTGTCTGACGTTAAATAGACGGTATGGATAAAAACACTTTAGTTTAAAGGTGGGTTAAGATAAACACGATAAGTAGTTTGTAGTTTAACACACAAAGAGGATGAGACGGTTTCCCAGTAGCTTCAAACAGCGACTCACAACTCTCCTGCTACTGTAGCTAACATCACAACAGCAGCATGTATGAGAGAGTAAGCTGAATGTCTGTGGTCATTTAACGCTAGCTAACACATCAACCCGGCTGGAATAACAAGGTAGTGGGCAGAGCTGACAAATCAATATAAAGAAGTGTACTGAATTAGAATCAGTTACCCCACTTTTATCCGTTCTTAAAGACTCAAACAGTTTTCTGATGGATGATTTATTTTGCTTTCTCTGACTGTTTCTTGTTTTTGTTTGCAGAGTAAGATCCCAGTGGGCATCAAGTCCGGGAACTACAACAAGGTGAGAGAAGATCAATGTTGGGTCATTCAGCCACCCATAATCCCTTGTGTCTGGAGGCATTTTGTCACTAGAAGCACATTCATTCATTTTGTTAAAGTTTCTGTGTGCTACCCGCGTTGTTACGTTGGTTCACTTTCCTGTCACTCTTTATCTCCTTGTATCTAATAAAGGCAAACAAACAAACAACAACAACAGGAGGAAATAATGCATTTGTTGGGCAATATTTTAATCTGCGGATTATTCCACAGTTGGTGCTGTAGCAGTGAGTATTTGGGGCAGCAGGACGGTGTGTGTAAACTGCAGTGTGTGTGTGTTTATGGTAATGAAGGAACAATGGATGTGTCTTTAATAGTTTATGGAAGATAAATCCATCTGTGATACACACGACACTATTTATAAAATACAGTGTAAAACAGCAGCAGAATCCTTCATTGAAACAGCTGTGAACGCAACCAGGCTGGTTTTATACCTGAAAACAAACTGGAACTTAATGGAGTTCAGGAGCAGCTGCATTAGTTCCAGCACTTTCTGTCTCATCAGCTGATTCAGTAAACACACACACACACACCACACACACACACACACACACACACACACACACACACACACACACACACACTCTCTCAGCTTATCTCCTGATAGTTTCCACGTAGAGGCTGAGGAGTGTTTGCCAGCTCTTGGCTCGCAGCCTCGTGTTTGTCTTGTAATGACCCAGAAGTGTTCTGACATCTGCACTCGTCGCGGTCAAGGTCGAAGCCGCTTCACTGACCGTCAGCCAGGAAACTCACTGTTAGAACCTGTGGGAGGGATTAAAGGAAACACGAGTATGTGCCACCTCAGCAGTGTGTGAGGAAGGCAGCACATCTGGAACTCACCTGAATCTATATTTTTATCTCCTTTCTACCAACGTGAACCTTGTGCTCAGGCCTTTAGAGACCATGTGTGAACCTGTTGTGAAGTCACCTATCGGTTTGAGGAGTTATGAAGCCTCAAGTTTGGCGTTTGTCAGAGCCAGCGGAGGTCACGTAAAGCGAGTTGAGCTGCAGGAAACAGTGGCAGCTCGCCTGCTCACACAGGATCTGGTATTCCAGATAAACAGTAAAATGTGTTTGTGAACAGATTTGAGGAGAGAAATAGTCAGCAACAGAATCTGGATCCATATCTGATCAGCACTGTTTGACAGTTTGATATGAGTTTGGTGCGTTGAGCTGGACGGACTCACTGAGAATGAGCTGTCAATCACAAGGTAGCCCCGCCCTAAAGCATACCCTGCTTTATGGTCTGTTTTACTCTAAGTGGGACCATCAGTTACTAAATGAACATCATGCTGTATGGAAGAAGACTGGAACTAGAGACTAAGACCAGAAACTCATCAGGAAACTGTTTACTGAGCTCATTAATCAACTGAGAAGTCGGCTCATTTCTCCATAAGACTGAATGGTTTCAGTGTGTTATTGCAACCAGTGGCGCTCTCCCTGCTGGCCATTACATAGAATGCAAGATGTTGAACACAATGTTGAACTTTTCTTTTTACTTTTCTAGCTCATTGTTGCACCAGATCGGAGGCATCAACGATATCATACAGTGTGTGTGTATTATAGTGTTATTAGTGTATTAGCTGTAATATTCCTCTAACAGCGTGTCTCTGTGTGTCTCCAGTACTCCCAGGCAGCAAATACGGTGTCGGACATGACGGAGTGCGAACAGGCTAAAGAACTGGGCGCCATCAACAGCACCCTGAGGTGACAGCTCAGACCTCCTCCCGTCTGTTCTTATCTGCGGGCCACAGACACTTTCCCTCCGTCTGCTGCAGCGGCTCATTTGAATCACAATGCAAAGCGGCTTCAGCAGCTGATAGTAACCAGTCAAACATTTACAGGCGTCTGACGGGGAGCTGCTGGGAGCTTCCCACCGTTCACAGCGACTGACTGACCTTCACTCCACCTCCATCGTGGAAAACGTGGAGTTAAATATTCCAACCACAGAAAAGTTTTAGTCCAACACTTTATATTAAAGTCTAAAAATGACCTCAGGGTGAACAAACCAGGAAGGAGTAGAGGGTAGCTATGGATCCCTGAAGTTTAATTAAACCTTAAAATCGATCTTAAATCTGGTTATTTAATCTCATGATGCAGAGCCAAGATAACTGTTACATTACAGTTTCAAACCACTCATCTCTCTTCCCAGGGTTTGTTCATGTTGTTTTATTATGTAATTAACTACGTCGCACCAGAATCTCAGACCAAAACAAAGGGACCAGACTCCATTAACAAAACCCCTTCTTGTACTTTATCGTAAAACACACATGAAACTGGACAGAAACAGAGTCAAACTCATTAAAGCGTCTCTGTTAGTGTTTCCAACAATCACCAACTCTGGTTTGGTGGAAATAAATCCTTAATTCACCGACGTAGATGATAAAAACAGCAGTTTCAGTCGGAGCAGACCGGCTATGGAAACAAACCACAGAGAGGCTGCGATACAACACAGGCAGAGGGAGAGAGACTCCATGTGACTGTATCTTTACACAGAGAATTGCTGTTTGCTGCTGTTTTAATGTTATATATCTCATATTTAACCTTTGAACTCAACATATTGAGCTGTGTTCTCTGAGTAAATCTAGCGAGTCACAGGCTAATAAACCTTTAACTTCCTACAGCTTGTTAGTAAACTGTTTATTATATAGGTAAGTTTGTATGTTTGTAATGTTATTAAGATAATATAGACTTTATTGATCCCACACTGGGGAGATTTACTTGCTACAGCAGCTCAAGATACAACACAACAGATAACAAAACACACATTAAATAAAAATAGAATAAGAATGAATCACAAACTATAAAAGAAAGTTTTCCTCATCACTGATAACGCGTCATAGAAATTAGATTCTCAGTGACTTTTAAAAATGTTTGTTTGATCATATATATATATATATATATATATATATATATATATATATATACATATATATATATTTATTGTATTTCATTCTTTCCTGTTTCAGTAACCAGAGTAAACAGGCGTTCGCTGATTGGGCGAGACACGACGACGCTCAGGACAACTTCTGCGAGCTGGATGGTGAGGATTTCCTCTGTGTGATGCTTTTACTGACAACACAGCGTACAGCTCAATATCTGAACACATACTGACCACACTGCCTTAAACTAACACCACCAACACAGAGGTATCAAATCTAATGAGGAAATCTGCATGAAACTTCCTCTCAGTCTCCTTTAGATGGTAATGACCTCCTGATCTGACCTCTAGCGCCGCCTGCAGGACAAACATCTTTCTTCTGATGAGACTGCAGAACAGACTTTTTGTTGCTGATAGTAGTGATGCTTTAGTCCATAAAAAGGCCTGTGTTTGTTTGTTTGTTTGTGTGTTTGTTAGATGAAACCTCTCCAGATTCAGAGTACGTGGATCTGCTGCTGAATCCAGAGCGGTTCACTGGATACAAGGGTCCTTCAGCCTGGAGAGTCTGGAACAGCATCTACGAGGAAAACTGCTTCAAGTGAGAGACACACACACACACACACACACACACATAGTGTTTGTTGTTGTGTTGTGATACCGATCCCACATGCTGCTGAGAACACACAAATGTTTCATGTAATAAAATGATACTGATCCATTTTTTTTTTCTGGCAGCGATACGTTTCCATATGGTATTCTTCTCTGCATCCAGTCTGACTCTAAACTCGTGATGATTATTGATCATTAATAATAATAATCTTTCTTTTTGTTGTCATCAGGCCCAGATCAGTGTACCGACCTCTGAACCCTCTGGCTCCGAGCAGAGGTGAGTCTGGAAAAATCAATAACCGCTCAGTTTGAACAAACTAAAGGTGGATCAAACTGCTCAGAATTATAATTGTATTCACTTATTCTTTGACCAGATAATCAGGTATTTATCAGGGACAGAAACAACTGAAATGAATAATTTTTCCGATCAGATTTGTTATTTTTGCTGTAGAATAAGTTGAAACTGCGGCTGTTGTTGTGGAGGTGTGTGTTCATTAATAGATCTGACTTAGCTTTGTTCTCTGTCTCTCTTTCTGTGTTCAGGAGACGACGACGGTGAGACTAAGCACATCTTCATTTGAATTTATTTTTAGCCGTGTTGTAAAAAAACAAGCACTGATTTTGTTCTCACGTTGCAGGAGAGGGTTTCTACAAGTGGCTTGAAGGTGAGTTCTCACATATTTCTACAGGAAATATTAAGTCACGTATTCTTTTTATACCTTTTAGTTATCAAACCACTTTCTTACTCTAACGTTGAATATCTGAAGTTCACAGACAGATATTCAGGACAGAGTCTCAGTTTCAACAAACATATCAACCTCATTGCTCTCTTGGTTTATTTGAATTCATCAGAAGTATGGAAGCCCATTTCTGCCAGTAAGATAAAAAATAAGAAAACAATAAAATAAAAAAATATCCTCATGGCAAGTCATCATTTTTGCTTTTTAACTCATAATTTTAAAAACAAATTGAACATTTGGTTCATTATCAGGGCTACGTTTTCATCTTAAAACCTTTTAAAGAAGTAGATTATTTTTGATTCTTTAGTAAGTAGTTAGTTACTTTGATGAATAAAACATGTCCTTGTTAACTTTCTCTCTGTCTGTGTCCAGGTTTGTGTTTAGAGAAGAGAGTTTTCTACCGACTCATCTCAGGCCTCCACACCAGCATCAACATCCACCTGTGTGCCGAGTACCTGCTGGACGGTACGACAGCCTGATCTTAATGGAGCTTGTTTACTCTCAAGTCTATAAAATGTAAAATAAAGTGTCGTGTCATGTAGTAAACTGTTGTTGGATTCCTCAGAGGGCTGGGGCCGGTCGGTCTGGGGTCCAAACGTTCAGGAGTTTCGGCAGCGCTTCGACACAGCGGAGACGAAGGGCGAGGGCACGCGGCGGCTGAAGAACCTTTACTTCCTGTATCTGATCGAGCTGCGGGCGCTCTACAAGGTGGCGCCGTACTTTGAACGGGCGTTCATCAACCTGTACACTGGAAACTCACAGGAAGACGGAGCCACGAAGGACCTGCTGCTGCAGGTCTTCAATGAGATCAGGTAAGACGGGCTTGTTTGTGGTCTTCTAAAGTAAAATGTAATATGTTTTATTAACTTTGGTTAAACACCCAGAAGTTGCCACAGTCAGTGATTAATGGTAAAACATAGGACAACAGTATCTGAGGTCATAAAGTCAGAGAAGGGACTCAGTCAAGTAATTTCACAGCAGTTTTTATCTACAATTTGTGAGCATTAACCACCATAAGGTTCTGGTCATACCACACCAAGAAGCCTGTGTCTGGAACAGTAAAACTCCTGCATGTGTTGAACTGAGAAAATCTTTGTTTTATTACTTATAAAATTAACTTTTCAATTGTAAAATAATGAATGTGCTACTTCTGCCTTCACAAAATGTATATTTAATATTGATCTGAAATTTCACAAATAAAGAAGCTCCTATGGTATAAAATTAACAGGAATATATTCCTTTAATGAAAACATGAATATATCGATAAATGAGCCCCGGCTCGAGGTTTGTACAGCAGCTAACTGAGTGAGTACAGATCGTCTCAGTGGTTGAATCAGATAATGTATTTATTTTTTTCTTTCAGTGAAGTAGTTTTATCTGTAAAGCAGAAAACTTTTCATCTTCTACTTTTTACCCCAGTGCCAGGGTTTGATGTTACCGGCAAATTTCTTCCATCCTTTGCACTTCTTCTTCTTTTTCTGACTCCCAGAAGCTTCGTCATCAGTCGTCACCTCTGCGTTGAACCCGTTGGTGTCCTCTGGGCGAACCTCTTTCTCGTAGCGCAAGAGCTTTCCTTCCAGCTCCTCCAGCTTCAGGGAAACCATCTGCTCCCTCTCAGAGAACCATATCTTCTGCTGGATGCAGAAATCCAGCTGCTCTTTCACCTTAAGGTTGAGCGCCTGGATTCTTTTGAACTGTTCCTCCTTAATGGCCTCCTTATGATCTTTCTCTGCCTTTAACTTCTGAAACATGTCCTGGAATCTCAAGGTTTTTCCTTCGTAACACAGTTTCAGGTCTTCGATCTCTTCAAGGTAGGCCTTCTTCTCCTTCTCCCAGGCTTGAAGTTCGCTGTCCTCATCGCGTCCTTTTTGGATCGTCTGCCGGAGGTCATTTATTTCCTGGCAGAGGACCTTCTCCCTCTCAGAGGCCTTCAGCTGCTGCTCCCTGTACACATCCATTTGGTTCCTGAGTTTGATGTTGAGCTCCAGGATTTTGTTTTGCAGGAACTCTTTTTCTTTTCTCTCTGCTTGGTACTTTTCAGCCGTGCATTCAAATCGCATTTTAAGCTGCTCCACCTCATCGCTCGAGGCATTGTTCTGGCTCTCCACAGATCTGAGGTTGTGGTTGAGCATATTCTGACACTTAAAATCGTTTTCGCCTTCAGAGGTCATGGTCTCTTCCTGAGTGCAAAGGCCATTTTCTTTTTGCAGCAAGGAAGCAGGATCCTGAATTTCATCCACTTGCTGCGCCTCGTTCTTTTCGGGCACATCTTTGAAGGTCACCCTTTTCTCTTTGCAGCTCGTCTGAAGTTCTTCGGTCTGGGCATTGAGGAGCTTGTCCTCCCTCTCCAGAGCCTCGAGTATCAGTTCAAGCATATCCAGACAGCTTGAAATCTCGGTTTGGAGCTTCTCCTTAACATCAGCAGGATCCTGATTTTTATCCTCCGGCTGAATCACAGTGACATCCTCTGCGGTCTCAGCCTTGTCCTTTTTTGACAAGCTACTGTCTCTGCAGGTCATCTGAACTTGTTCTTCAGGACTAAATAAGCTCAGGTTCTCTCTCACCAAAGCATTAAGTAGGAGATCAAACATATCCACACTGTCAGATCCCTTCTGGACTAAGTCACTGTTGTCTTTGTGCAGTACATTGTTCCCCTCAGAGGTCTTGGGCTCCTCCTGGGCGCAGACATCACTGTCCTTCTGAACCAGTGAATCTGACTCCTGAAGTTCATCAAGTTCAGGGACAAATGAGTCTGCGCACTCCCTCTGAAGTTGCTCCTGGAGGTCACAGATGTCTTTACGGAGGACCTTTACCTGCTCAGAGTGTCTCAGCTGCTCCTGGGCGTGCAGCTCGCTCTCTCTTTGAAGCTGCAACTTCAGTTGCTGAACTTCTTTCTGCAGAACATCCCTTTCCTTTGTAATGGACTGTTGTTCAGCCTTCTCAGAGTGGCACTCAACAATGATGTCCTTGAGGGTCGCAGTATGGATGTCTGCCTCTTGAAGCAAGATGTCTCTCTCTGCCTCCAGGGTCTTGAATTTATTGACATGCTGATTGATGGTTTCTTTCAGACTGTCAGTTTCTGTCCGATGGGCATTTTCTCTCTCAGTGGCCTTCAGGTGCTCCTCTGCTCGCAAGTGTTTTTCTCTTTGGAGCAGGTTGGAGAGCTTGCAGATTTTCTGCTGTATGTCGCACTTTCCTGCCATCTTACCGAAGCTTGAAATCTTGTTCTTGCACTGGATCCCAGTTTGGTTGCTCAAGTCTCTTCCAGACATAAAATGTGATTCTGAGAACCTGTTGACCAAACTAATGTTCCAACAGAATGTCTGTGTGATCAGCAGAATGTTGGATAGAATGATTTATTTGTTTTTGTTTTCATGAACTTTATCATAAACACACAGAAAAGACTCTCAGGAAACTGGCTGCTTAGCTTTACTGTTACTCCTGCAGTCGTAGCAGAGTTGTGTTACTGCTGATGCAAACTGAACATTTCTCACTGCTGCTGCGTCACATTAAAGATTTTCAAATGGTAAACCATGGGGAGGCTTTTAATGTGAAGGAGAAACAATGTTAGCACAGTTCACTGGAAGGTAGACGCTGACGCTAGCTCATCACGCTAGCTTCATCCAGTAAACTTTGCACGAGAGCATTTAAACACATAAATGTACAACAGTCGTATATTTCAGTTCGATTGTTACTGTAAGACTAACCGCTGCTTTTTGTCTTCCAGAGCTTTCCCAATGCACTTTGATGAGAAGTCCATGTTCGCCGGACACAAAATTGAAGCCAAAACATTAAAGGTGAAACCAAAACCTTTGACTCCTGATCCAACACGGAGACAGACGCTCTCTGTGTGCGAGCAGGTGTCTTTTATTCTGACGTTTGTTTGCTCTCCTTTTGATGAGCAGTGAGGCAGACGAGCCAGAAAGCTTTTAGTGTGTGCAAACAGCCGAGCCTTGATCCTCCGTCACCTTTAAAATATATATATTCACATCTTATATGAACGCTGTGAAATGTTTTTGAGATAAACTGAATGCTCTGTCTCCTCTCTCTGACCCTTCAGGAGGAGTTTCGCCTCCATTTTAAGAACATCTCCAGGATCATGGACTGCGTCGGCTGCAGTAAATGTCGACTGTGGGGGAAACTGCAGGTGAGCCGCGTTACAGAGTCTGCTGTGTGTTTATGTTCAGAAAAATAACCTCAAAGCAACATCGAAACAGTTAAATACAGATCTCATTTACAACAGAGACTTTTTATGTTACATTTTGACTTTTTATATCATAATTTCAACTATTTATCTCAGTTTTTTTCTTATCTTATAATGACTTTATTTTATAATTTCACATTTTAATTTCTTAATTTTGACTATTTAGTGTAAATATATATAACAAAATGAAGCCCATGGCGCTGCTGTTGCGTTTATCTTGTTGTTTTTGACAATCGACTCTTAAAAAGACACTTTTTTAAGGTTCAATAAATTATTTTTCCAAAGTTGATTAATTGTGATCTCACTATTGACCAAAACCATTGTGGTTAAGATTTTTGCCACAATCGAGCCGCCCTACCAGTCAGTGGGTTAATATTGTTGGACGGAGCCAGGCTAGCTGTTTCCCCCTGTTTCCAGTATTTGTGCTAAGCTAAGCTAACCCACTGCTGTCGGTGTAGCGTCATATTAACTGTACATATCGACCTTCTCATCCGACTCTCTGCAGGAAACCGTTGACCTCTCTCGATGTTTGATATTTGTGCTTAGAATATCTCCCACTGCTATAAGATATAACGTGGAGGGTTCACCTTTTATTTTCCTAAAACTGTTGTTGGTTTTGTGGTTTTACGAATGACTTTTATCTGTTACTGTTACTGTAAACCCTTCCTGACCGTCCTCCGGTGTGTTGTGTGCAGACTCAGGGTCTCGGTACGGCCCTGAAGATCCTCTTCTCTGAGAGGGAGATCCAGAACCTTCCTGAACACAGCCCCTCTAAAGGTTTCCAGCTGACTCGCCAGGAGATTGTGGCCTTACTGAACGGCTTCAGCAGGTACGTTCACTGCAGACAGGCAGACAGACAGACAGACAGACAGACACGCAGACAGACGGACACTTTAAAAACCTTGATTTTAAAATTCAGTAGCTAAAGATTTAAAGATCTTTTTATTGATTTTCTTTTTTTACATAACTCAAGAATGAAATTTAAATCAGTTTAAGAGTAAATTATTAATTAAATATAAATTACAACAATGTGGTGACATTTACCCAAAAGGTCAAAGGTCAATGTATATATGATATAATAATGTCCTTTATCTAACACAGTGGAGCTCCCCCCAGGTTTAAGACACTTCTGTCCATTACAGTCTCTGTCAGCGACTGCAACCTGATTGGTTGGCGGAGGCTTACAACGTCGGGGCGCAAGAATGGGTCCTGAAACCCAGTGTTAAACCCCACCGGGGCGTTATTGGTTCTGCTGTCTGTCATTAATCTGTCTCTCTCTCTCTCTCTCTCTCTCTGTCTCTCTCTCTCTCTCTCTCTCTCTGTCTCTCTCTCTGTCTCTCTCTCTCTCTCTCTCTGTCTCTCTCTCTCTGTCTCTGTCTCTGTCTCTCTCTCTGTCTCTCTCTCTCTCTCTCTGTTCTGTTTTTGTTTTTTTTTTGTTTTTTTTTTTTTTTTTTTTTTTTTTTTTTTTTTTTTTTTTTTTTTGTTTTTTTTTTTCTTTTGTTTTTTTTTTCTTTTTGTTGTTTGTTTTTTTTTTTTTTTTTTGTCTTTTTTTGTTTTTTTTGTTTTTTTTTGTCTTGTTCTCTCTCTCTCTCTCTCTCTCTCTCTCTCTCTGTCTGTCTCTCTCTCTGTCTGTCTCTCTCTCTCTCTCTCTCAGGTTGTCCACCAGTATTCATCAGCTCCACCACTTCCGCCTGCTGCTGAAGGACAACAGGTAACAGGAGGTGATGCTCCACCCGGCCAGTAGGCGGCGCCAGCCCCCAGAGGACTGCAGTAGTCTCACCGCCCAGAAGAAGAAGAAGAAGAACTTTTTCATGGACATCAGGATCAGCAGTGAACCTCTCTCTCTCTCTCTCTCTCTCTCTCTCCTCCCATTAATCTCTCTCTCTCCTCCTCCTCTGTCTGTTGTTGGTTTGTGACAGCCTGAAGGGAACAGGAAGTGATGTCACAGACCACAGATTAAACCGTGTTCAACAGGAAGTGAACGTTTTAAATCTCTTCGTTCTCTTTCTTTCTCTCTCTCTCTTCCTTTCTTTGGCCCCGCCCTCGTGAACTGAGTCGGACCTTTAACGCCTCTTCTGTAGGGAAAGAACTCGAGTCGGGAGGAAACGCCGTGCGCGTCTGAAACCGCCAGGACGCAGCTTCCTGTTGGTTTAGTTTCCTCTCCTCTCCCACTTCCTGTTTTCGGTTTGTCGCTCAAAGCCTGAAGCTCTGGACCAATCAGCTCCCGTTCACCATCTCAGGCCTAACTTATGTCAGCTCGATAGATGTGTGTGTGTGTGTGTGTGTGTGTGTGTGTGTGTGTGTGTGTGTGTGTGTGGATCAACAGTTGCAGCTATACATTTATGGACAATGACTTGATTCCCATAGTTTAATATACGGTAGCAGATTTTTGCTCATTTTGCGATAACTAATGATTGTCTGTCTGTCTGTCTGTCTGTCTGTCTGTCTGTCTGTCTGTCTGTCTGTCTGTCTGTTCAGTAAACTTGCTGCCTCCTCTTTCCAGGCACTCTTAGTTTTGCTTCAGCCACGTTGTCTTAAAGCACAACTTTAACAGATTTATAACGTTTATTTAAAGAGGAGAACTTTGGGAGTTGTTTAGTTTCTCTTCAGGTTACGTCAGTATTTTATTTCCCGCTGTGAAACGGCGGCGTGATGTTGGTTTGTGATGGGACAATGTGAGGGAACGATTAAAGTCTGCTTTTATTTTATAGTTTTCTTATTGTCAACAAGTCCCGTGTGAGTTATTCTAGTTGTTTCATTTTAATTTAGTTTCTGTAATATATATTATATATATATAATATATATATATTATAATAATGCTGGGATTTGTCAGAATAATACAATACAATACGACGGTTCTAGTTTTAGTTTCCCGCTTATGTTTCACTATAATGAATAAATATGTCGGTCCGTCAGCTCAAACCGCATCAGTTCCTACTGAGGACGTAAACCTTTAAAAACAATTAAAATATATAGTTTCATTCATTATAAAGCACAGTAGATTTTATTAAACCCGAGGAAATGGTGCATTTCAGGACGGTGTAGAAAGAAACTACAGTGTGTGATTGATAATCAATACAGTTGGGATTTGTTGACTTTAAGAAAAACACCGAATACAAGCAGACTATTCCTCTAACGAGGCGTTCAATGTCCTGAACGACAGGCGAACCAGCCGATTCAAGTGATTACGAACCCTGAGGAACGCCTGTTACGATCAATAACGATCAATAAGCAACGTCTAACAAGCAAAGGAAGTCATTACACTGAACGCCACCTTCGTCTCGTCCCTGTGGCCAATCACAGTTCAGCTGCTGGGGCAGGAAATCCGATATTATATATATTATATATTATACATCTTTAAAATTCCACTTTTCCAGGAGCAAGTTGAGCCTTTGTGGCTGCAGGCGGCACCTTGTGGCCGCAGGAGGAACTGCAGGCGGAGATATTTAATTTTGTCGTTCGGCTTTTTCAGCGTTTTTTCGTCAGATTGCGACGGTTTGTTTTCGCTCAGCAGTAAAAGAATGAAGTGGACCAAAGAAGTTGCCTACATTTTAATTTTGATGTATCTTTTTGTTTGTGATGTCCAGGAAGTGTTTATGTTGTAGTTCGGACACACGATGAGTTATGTTTAAAGCTGTTTTCTTGAGGGTCAGGCTGATGTTTCACCTCTGTATTCTGGATGTTTAAGAGCTGAATTAGGGTTTGAAATATAAAATATTAAAAGTAAAATCTGCAGCTTCTGCTTGTTCCTGTCGTGTGCTTTAATCCCGTTTATCGCTTCTCTGTTGACGGGGAATTAATTACAATTAAAGATTATATCAACAGCTTCAAATCACCTGTAGAAACTCTTGTCAGTCAGATTCTTTCTCTTTTCTTACCCTCCGTTTTGGCTCTCAGGCTCAACCTGCATCACAACATGAAGGTTTGATTAACAGAGCTCGTTATCCTTCCTGCAGCCCCTTCACAGTAAAAGCCTTCCAGAGGAACTGCTTCATAATCACCTCCAAATTACTGCTGGTCGTTACATCAGAGTTGTTCCAAGAACGCACGCCGGTGCACCGATTCAATACTTCATCTTTCATGACCGGCCCTCGTAGTAAACTCTTGTAAAACAGTAATTATATATCTATAAATCTTTTGTTTTAATGAATCAGAATCAGTCTTCAGCGATAGGAAGATGGAAAAGTCATCAGTTAATTAATTTGAATGTAAATCCTTTAACATGAAATTGTTTATTTATTCACATTTATATTGTCCGGTAAACTTTAAGTGATAACACTCTGCACTTAACACTCTATAGAAATAATAAAAAGAATAAATAGAGAGTAAATTCCACAATGTACCAAAGTATAAAGATGTTGAGACTTGGTGTCTGCTTTTATTGTGAAGCAGCTGCAGGAAGTGTTAATATAATAATAACTCTGCGATAAAGAGTACAACAAACAACGGCGGCGTTTATGAGACAGGAAGAATACGGAGGCCTAAATGTGACAAATTAAAAGCATTTTTCAGTGAGTCATCAACTTATTAAATAATTAAATCAGTTTTATGCATTTTAGTTGTAAAGGTGACCATTAAAATTTACATTTAAATGATGCAATTTAAGAAACTTAGTTTAAATAAAAATAGAATAAGTTCTAATATTCTACCTTTGAATGATTATTAAGGTTTCAACGTTATTCTATTGACAGAGTTGTATAATTAAATTTAGATTCAGTTTCCTTGTAAAAAAAAGATTAAGTCATCAAAATTAATTAATTTGTGATATCAGAAATACTTGCTTCAGTTATCGAGTCGAGAGAGCGTCTGACTGAAATGTTTCTTTAAAAGTTCATTAAATCTGGAAATCTGTTTTTTTTAAAGAAACTTTTAGTGGCTGAAACAAAAACTATAAACGGTGAAATAATTACAGTTTGATATGGAACATAATAAGATTTAATATTGAATGATTTTGAAAATAACTGAAAAAATCCACTTTAAGTCTCATTAATTTATTAATCATTTGAACACTTAAATTAAAGTACACATGTAATAATTACTGCAATCTTGTGACTATGGAAGCCCATTTAGGCCAACTAACGTCTGTAAGTCATAATAATGAGAACGTTTATCAAAATAATGACTTTGTGATATTCAGTCATTGTTTTGGCAGAAATGTGCTTCCACAAATTAATTTACGACTTTTAGTTTTAAAATTATCACTGAATTTGAATAACTTAAATATTTTACTTTGAAAACCATCTATTATAATTTATGTGGATTTCCTTTTTTTTGTTTTGTGATTTCAAATTTTATTGAATTTTTTTTCTCTGTTGAAGTTTCTCAGATGTCAAAATTTAAGAGAAAAATGAAAAATGAAGTTGCTGTGATCAGATTGATCAGATTCATCAGTTAAAGGTGTTCAGTTGTTTATCAAATGCAAACGTTAATAATAAATTATCAGTTTTAATTAATTCAGTGTCACCTTCCAGCCTCCATAACAGAGTTTGGGTGAAGTCTATTTCTCCTCTGAGCCTTGCATGTCCTCCGTACCACCTTACAACTAAATCGCTATTTTGGAAAAAGACCACAAAAAAACCTGCTTCAGATCTTCATGTTGAATCGAAACAAGTTTTCTTTCTGTTGATCTCTGAATAAATAAATCTATAGAGTTCCTGTTGACTATATTTATTTGAAAAGATGAATAAATATTTCTGGATATCACTGAACTTTGTTTGCTTGTTGATTAAGATAATATCAATATACACTACCGTTCAAAAGTTTGGGGTCACTTAGAAATGTCCTTATTTTTGAAAGAAAAGCATTGTTTTTTTCAATGAAGATAACATTAAATCAATCAGAAATACAGTCTAGACATTGTTAATGTGGTAAATGACTATTCTAGCTGGAAACGGCTGATTTTTAATGGAATATCTACATAGGTGTACAGAGGCCCATTTCCAGCAACCATCACTCCTGTGTTCTAATGGTACATTGTGTTAGATAATCGTGTTAAAAGGCTAATTGATGATTACAAAACCCTTCTGCAATTATGTTAGCACAGCTGAAAACTGTTGTGCTGATTAGAGAAGCTATAAAACTGGCCTTCCTTTGAGCTTGTTGAGTATCTGGAGCATCAGCATTTGTGGGTTCGATTATACTCTCAAAATGGCCAGAAAAAGAGAACTTTCTTCTGAAACTCAACAGTCTATTCTTGTTCTGAGAAATGAAGGCTATTCCATGCGAGAAATTGCCAAGACACTGAAGATTTCCTACAACGGTGTGTACTACTCCCTTCAGAGAACAGCACAAATGGGCTCTAACCAGAATAGAAAGAGAAGTGGGAGGCCCCGGTGCACAACTAAGCAAGAGGACAAGTACATTAGAGTCTCTAGTTTGAGAAATAGACGCCTCACAGGTCCTCAACTGGCAGCTTCATTAAATGGTACCCGCAAAACGCCAGTCTCAACGTCCACAGTGAAGAGGCGACTCCGGGATGCTGGCCTTCTAGGCAGAGTGGCAAAGAAAAAGCCACATCTGAGACTGGCCAATAAAAGGAAAAGATTAAGATGGGCAAAAGAACACAGACATTGGACAGAGGAAGATTGGAAAAAGTGTTATGGACAGACAAATCTAAGTTTGAGGTGTTTGGATCACACAGAAGAACATTTGTGAGACGCAGAACAAGTGAACAGATGCTGGAGGAGTGCCTGACGCCATCTGTCAAGCATGGTGGAGGTAATGTGTTGGTCTGGGGCTGCTTTGGTGCTGGTAAAGTGGGAGATTTGTACAAGGTAAAAGGGATTTTCAATAAGGAAGGCTATCACTCCATTTTGCAACACCATGCCTTACCCTGTGGACAGCACTTGATTGGAGCCAATTTCCTCCTACAACAGGACAATGACCCAAAGCACACCTCCAAACTATGCAAGAGCTATTTAGGGAAGAAGCAGTCAGCTGGTATTCTGTCTGTAATGGAGTGGCCAGCGCAGTCACCAGATCTCAACCCTATTGAGCTGTTGTGGGAGCAGCTTGACCGTATGGTACGTAAGAAGTGCCCATCAAGCCAATCCAACTTGTGGGAGGTGCTTCAGGAAGCGTGGGGCGAAATTTCTTCAGATTACCTCAACAAATTGACAGCTAGAATGCCAAAGGTCTGCAAGGCTGTAATTGCTGCAAATGGAGGATTCTTTGACGAAAGCAAAGTTTGAAGGACAAAATTATTATTTCAAATAAAAATCATTATTTCTAACCTCGTCAATGTCTTGACTATATTTTCTATTCATTTTGCAACTCATTTGATGACTAAAAGTGTGAGTTTTCATGGAAAACATGAAATTGTCTGGGTGACCCCAAACTTTTGAACGGTGGTGTATATGTATATTTATATGTATTAAAAAATTCTCATTGATTCAGAAAAAGTTTAATTTAGACGTTTTAAAGTTTTAGAAGTTCACCTTTTTTCTGAGTTCCTGTGGAGTTTCATATCACACTCTCCATCCTGACATCCTGATCAATCACTGTTTACTAGAAATGGTGAAATAAATATTCACGGTGTATGTTAGCAGTTTAACAGGTGCAGCGTCATGTTTTCATTTTATATCTATTGGGAAACAAACAGTATGTAAGGAAATATCAGGATATTGACCTAATGTTTTGTGATATTGAATCGATTCTTAAACTCTGTTGTGTTTCAATTAATAGTTTCCATTCAATGGTTGAAACCTCAGACTGCTGCTTTCTAATCACCGTTCTTTAGTTCTTCTCTAGTGTAGGACGAGGTTCTTAAATAATAATTCAAACTTATAGAACTGAAATTAATGAAATATGAGATTTACTGTTTATATTTTTAAGTTTTCTTTCACCCTTTAAAATCGAGAAGACGTTGTGTTGTCATGGTAAGCAGACGATCGTTTTATTGAAGTCTGACTTTCTGTGTGAACACGTCACAAACACACAAACACACAAGGAACCAAATGCAGCTGTACAAAGAACTTACAAAACCTGTTAGAAATATAGACTTTAAGCTTTTTCTGAACATCGATACAGAAACACGATAAAACATATGAACAGAAATATAATAATGGATCAATAACTCTGTATGTCTGAGAGTTAGCAAATAATATCAATCAATAAATGTTTAAATTTATTTAAAGAGAAGTCAAGATTAAATGACTTATTAATATGTGAATATTCTGAGGTGAACAACACGGAGGCTGTCTGGTTATTGATATTTACAGGATACTGATTATGTGAAATCAACAATCAGTGGACGTGTGCGTTGTGATGTATTTAGTTTTAAAGGATTCGACCATTTGGTCCATCGACATATAAAAGATGGACGTCTCCTGTTCCCTCCCGCTGTACATAAATAAAAACCCCTTTTTTATATCTTCAGATAATTAATTAAAACCAAACTGATGATAAAAATGAACAAACATCAGCGACCTAAACTGACAGAAACCATCTTTGGGAAACATTTATTTAATTTGATTTTGTAGTATATAATACTTTATAAGCTTTATAAGGGGGAGAGCTGAGTTTTTGGAGAGCTGTCATGTCGTCCATCTTTTTGTCTTTTGTCTCTTACAGTCAAAAATCTCAGAAAATGACTCGAAAGATTGTTCGATTGTTTCGCAGGTTAATGTCAAAAGCTTAAAGTTCCAGTGTTTAGGGTTTAGTCACATCTTCCAAGCATGTAGGAGGAACTATGGTGGCCATGAGAATCGTGAGAAACATGGCGGACTCTGCCAGAAAGGACCCGCTGCCTCTGTAGATAAAAACATTCTAAGGTAACAAAAACAGTGAATCTTATTTTCAGGTGATTAAACACTAAAAGAAAACACACCTGTGGATATTAGTGTTACACACTGGAGCTTTAAGTGACCTTCATTAACCCGACAGATTGTCTGAAAGTGTCTCATCACTCTCCAGAAGTCTTAAAAATCACATCTGGGACCTTCGTTTGCAGAGTGAGGCGGGAATAATTGTCTCAAATGAAATGAAGAATTGTGCCCGAGTTAATACTCGATGAAAAGCTCCCCAAATGATCGAAGAAACATTCATCACAACATTGTCTACAGACTCTAAACAACACAGACTTTCTCTGAAGCAGGGCTCCTCCACACTCTGGATCCACTGACATTTTTATCCTCTTATGTTACAAACTGGACCTTTTAAACTCACTTTCATTCATATTCATAGGGATCGACCCTCTGACCTGTAGGTGGCGCCGCAGCAGCCGGATAACGTTTAAACGCAACTCGTCGTTATGAAACTGATTTGTACAATTCATCCAATTTGTGCAAAACCTAAATATATTTGGAACATGGATTTCTCCAAACTTCAAAGCCTCCATCAGCGAATCGGATCCTGATGAGCTGCTGTGTGCTGCAGTGGCCTGAGGGGGGCGCTACAGTGTTAACATGAATACGACCCATGTGGGAACCCTGCTGGACATTCTGGTATTTTCTATAAATTCTCTACAAACTGGTACGTCAGTGATAAGAAACACAATAACTGATTGGTGTCAAAGTGCAGAGTGATGCTGTACAGTGAACAGAGGAATTATGGGTAAGGGTGGAGCTCTCCGGCGGCGGTGGTCAGGCGCTGTTCGTCGCCGTTGGTGTGCACAGTGAAGCTGCTGTGGCGGCTGCCCCAGTCGTAGCAGTCGGAGGAAAGACTGTCAGAGAGACGAGAAACTGTCAGTATAACGGTTCAATTCAGTTTATTATTATTATTATTTTTATTATTATTATTATTATTAATAAAGTTTCATGGTTTACTTCCTGTTTCCTGTACTGAACTCTAACTTTGTACAAATATTGAACCTTTTACTCCACAATATGTGTTTATAAGTTACTTTGCAGATTCAAATTAATAATATAAAATATAATCAACAAACAAATTAAACAAACCGATCAATTAACTTCATTGATCTTAGGGTTGAAATTCACCAGCTAACAGTGTATAAAGTCGTTAACGAGCTCCACCTTAACCAGCTGCAACTTTAAAAGCGTTGATAATTATGATCCAATAATGATTTATTTTTATTTATACACGAATATGGAATTCATAAACAGCACAACAGGGACGTCAGTGCTGTTGTTCGTACCTTGCTGATGCATTCTGGGGAGGAATGCTCCACGCCAGGTCATCGTCGCTGTCGTACCGACGAGGGTTGTCGAAGAAATATCCTCTGGAGGAGAGAACGTGGTTCGGTATCCCGGCAGTGCTCTGAGGAGACATTTCAGAGGAAGGATGTTATTGATCAATCGGCTGCTGCGGCCCAATAACAGTGTAATCGAAGGGATCAATGAAGTAACTAAAAGTCAATAAACAGGGTTAAATTCAAGACTTTTTAAGGCTTTTATGAATCTAATTTAATAAAGTACAAAGCGACTGAAGGAACAGTGTCTGTCGTTTCAGCATCATCAACACAAATCTTTATCAGAAACACATTTAAAAGTAAGACTGACTTTAGACAATCAATTCTTAAAGCACCACTGTGGTAGTGATTAGTGTGAAGTTACAACTAAAAACCTACTTGACAATAAAACCGATTCTGATTTTATAGCCTAAAAACGATCAGTTAGTTCAGGGAGGTCAAAGGGTCAAACTCACAGTCCCACATCAGCTACATCAGTTGATTCCCTTCAAGCATCCAAATGTTAAATACGCCTTATTTAAGCTGCTTCACCTTTAACCTGCCTGTTGTTGCTGCTTGGGTTAGGGTATAACCCTCACCCTAATCCTTAGAGCTACGCTACGGCTAACAAACAACCAACTGCAAGTATTTGAGAGGTCAGAGGTCACTCTAGGAGGACTGACCCTTTCCTGAGGCGGCCGTCGGACCCTGAAGAAGAAGACGACCAGCGAGGTGGGCAGCAGCTCCCAGACGAACAGAATCACCCCGAACACGATGTAACCGGCGTCTCCCAGCGAAGACCGCAAGTCCGCCTGGAAACACACAAGAGGTCAAAGGTCAGTGGCGAAAAGGTGCTTTTTCAAAACTCCTGTTCAACCAGCACGAACAGACGCCTGAACCCCACCTGGTCCGAGACGTTGTACCAGTCGTAGTCGAAGGAGTTGATGGTCTCGATGTCGGTGAGGGCTAGGACCACGAGGTTGTAACAGGCCCGCGATGCGTACAGCAGCACCACCATGATGCCAATCAGCGTCACCTGACACACCGACGTCCCCTGCACACAAGGTATTAACCATTACCACTCATCTTAATTCTTTGTCCTGATATTATTGACTTTAAACTGAATGAATTATACAAGAAAACGTGACTTTACCTTCGACTCCAGGTAGATGTTGGCCAGCGACATCTTGGCGACCTTGTAGAGGCAGACGGACAGCGAGACGGCGCAGAGGACGAACAGGCTATCGTTGATGGTGACCCTCACCAGGACGATGGTCTTGACGTCGGCCGCGGTCATTTTGACCAGCAGGGCACAGACCAGATTAACCACCAGGAAGAGAAGACTGACGCCCAAGAAGACCAGGTAAAGAGGAAGTCTGGAGGAGGAGAGACGGGGAGAAGGTTGGTCGGGATATTATCACCGCTTTACTTCTGATTTATGAACCCCTGGAGAATGAGTTGGTTGAAGAAGTTACCTGTACTTGAGTAGTGCAGGTGAATACTTGGATTTGGCCTTAAAATAAACCTGTGAAGAAAACAATAAGACATATTAGGATGTTGGTCTTTCAACCTGGTTGCAGACTTCTGAGAATCTCAATGCCAGTTTATTGACATTCGAAGGGGATCATCCGAAAATGTTTTGCTAACTATCTAGCTAACAATTGAGGTAAAATAGCTACCAAGTTAGCTTAGCATTTTACTAATATTAACTTAAGATGTGACTAAATGTGAAACTTTTCTCTTTGAACCCTCTTCAAAATGTGGTTGTCTTTGTAACATAGATTAGCTTAGCATATAGCATATCTAAGTACCAGAAAGGAGGAAGTTGACCAAGGCTTGCTCAACTGTGTGCAAGAAGGGGCGGGGCTTACGTTCAGTTGAGCAGAGAAGTCTAAATAATTAGCTAAAAGAAATGGATAAACAGTTGAAAGATTGATTGATGAATAGTCCAAACCAGGGCTTCCCAAAGTAGCGCCCACAGGCCACAGTTGACCCGGTAAAAAGTTTTATTTGTCCCAGCAGATGTTTCTAGTGAAAAGTGATTTAAGAAGTATATTGTATATAAATCATTGTGTGTGCTGTTTTATTAATTAAAATGCTCTTTATATATGTAGGATCCCTAATTATTTTTTATAATCTAGAACCTAACACCCTTTTGTATCTTAACCGTTGGATATAAAGAGTTTGCTTTAAGCCAGGGGCTCATGATTTGGTTTCGGTTTCAGTCCTCCAAGGGACAAAGTTTGAGCACTCCAACAGCATGAAAACATATTCTAATAACATCCACTTTTCTATAGTCAATAGTGTTTAAAAATCAAACAGTTTAAAATCAATTCAGATGAACACATTTGGAACATGATTGTTTGAGGTTCTTGAGTTCACCTCAGGTTGGGAAACCACTTATTTACTCGCTGTCTCTGTTTACATGAGTACAACACCATGAATGTCTTCCAAAGACGACCGGCTTTTCACTTTGCGTGTGGTCATTCGGAAAAAAACAGTTTGGATTGCTGTTTTTGGACAACACGCTGTCCTAAACACATCTTTGTGGTCCAGCCTGTAGACACCAATAGAGAAACGTGTGTGTGCATTAGTTCAGGAGGTATAAAGGGAGACACCAATGCTGGTTGGACACTGATGAATCGTGGAAGATGCCGAACGTCTCTGCAGCTTTTCCATCCAGCAGCTTTCATCGATTAGTCCCTCCTCTCTGACTGAAGGTGCCCTCATTACGGAAATTAGACACCGTAGTGTTTAGTCGGAAAAATAACCCGCGTCATCTCAGCTCTCAGGAACAAGTGGTGTAAAGCTGCTGGTAAAGAGGCTCATTTCTATCTCATCTTTATTTTCTGGTCTATTTCTGAATCCAGCAGCTGCTGTGGATGAATGAAGAGAAGCAGCTGCAACACCGATCAACCCCAAAAACGGACTGAATTACTTATCATTGCAACATTATACAATTCATCCAACAATGGGATGGTTGCCATTCAACCCAAAACAAAGACCCTTAAATTGACCGAACGACTACAAAGGCCAAATTGGCTCAGGTTGTTTGTCTTTTACTTGAATGGTTGGTGGTTTGATTCCCAGCTCCACTCGTCCACAAGTACTGTTCTTGAGGAAGACACTGATCTCCAGATTTCTTTTGTGTGCATATTAGTGGTGTAAAGATTTACTGATACGAGTCAGAAATCACTTTTAACATAATTGATGCAACTATATAGGAATGCGGACCCCTGGATCGAATGAACCATGAACCAGTCGATGGTCAGAGAAATCTAAAGTTACGAATACATTTGGATTCAATGAGAAGGACGGACGGTTGGACACAGGTCTGTTGGAGTCCAGCGGTACCACGACAGATCTACGCTAATAAATTACGTGCTATCAGACCAGTGCACAGACTCACCGTTCCTGCATTTTAGGCAATATTGGAGGAATTTCTGATACTGGTATCGGAACAACTGTAGGATCTTTTGGTCGTCAGCTGAATGGATGAAAATAAATGTGAATCAGTGTAGATTAAACCACTCTGTCATCTTGTCATCAATCTTGCACTTAAGAACTATGTGTTGGTTTTTATCGGTCAACTGGAAAGTACAGCAGTATAGACTCTCTCTCTCTATCTCCCCCTGGTGGCTGACTGCAGTATAGACTCTCTCTCTCTATCTCCCCCTGGTGGCTGACTGCAGTATAGACTCTCTCTCTCTATCTCCCCCTGGTGGCTGACTGCAGTATAGACTCTCTCTCTCTATCTCCCCCTGGTGGCTGCTAGAGTTTTGCTCGTATTTCCGTGACTGCAGTATAGACTCTCTCTCTCTCTCTATCTCCCCCTGGTGGCTGACTGCAGTATAGACTCTCTCTCGCTATCTCCCCCTGGTGGCTGACTGCAGTATAGACTCTCTCTCTATCTCCCCTGGTGGCTGCTGAGTATAGACTCTCTCTCCTATCTCCCCCTGGTGGCTGACTGCAGTATAGACTCTCTCTCTATCTCCCCCTGGTGGCTGCTGCAGTATAGACTCTCTCTCTATCTCCCCCTGGTGGCTGGCTGCAGTATAGACTCTCTCTCTCTCTCTCTCTATCTCGTAGTTATTTGAAGATATAAAAAGGAGGTTTCACTTCCTACACAGGAAGTTTAGGAGTTTCTTAGCTTGCGTAGCGGCCGGACTCAGCGATATTGGTGACTGTGGACTTTAACCCTCTCTGCAGCTCCAAGCATCACTGATGGGCGTGGTCAGACGTGTGCTCTTTTGCACCTGTAACCACACCCAGCAGTGATGTCACAGTGTACTGACACACCCTGGAGTACACTCCTACATCACTGCAGCAAGGCAAGATGTTAAAGCTGCTGTTATGTTACGACGTTAAAGAACATTATGGGCCAGACTTCATACTGCCAGTGTCACCAGCATCCCCTCCACCGGTGCCAGTAGCAGCGTCGCCCTCACCTGTGCACAGTAGAGGTTCATGAGGCTGAGCGTGAAGAACTGCAGGCAGACGGGGAAGCAGTAGAGCAGCCAGAAGGCGAAGGGTCCGAGCGCATTGGCGGTCACGCAGTCTCTGAAGTAGAAGGAGAAGAGGAGGGCGCGCAGGGCGGCCCACAGCAGACACAGGAACAGGAAGGCCGTCTGGTAGCTGAAGCGCTTGTGTCGGTACCGCAGCACCAGCCAGAGCTGGGCGTAGACGAAGGCGAACAGCAGCGAGTAGAAGATGGTGTAGGCGATGGTCAGACCCAGTTTCACGTAGGGAGGGATGGCTGGCGTGATGGTGGGAGGGGGAGGGAGGTGGGAGCCGTTACCGGCATGCTGCTGCACTTGTGCCGGGTTCCCCTCCATCGCCTCCCCATTCATCCCCCCTGTGTTCCCCGGGAGAGGGAGGGAGGCAGAGGCGGTAACAGACGGAGCTGCAGCGTCTAAACTCCGAGTGAAGAAGAAGCAACGTGTCTCAGCTCGTTAGACGGATCCTTCACATCCATCGACTCTCCTCCAGACACACCGTCTGACTCACAGAGAGGACGAGGAGGAGGAGGAGGAGGAGGAGGAGAGACACCTCCCCTATTTTTGCCGGTGCCTGGTGGACAGCTATTGGTGGCTGCCGGTCACATGATCACACTCTCTAGCAGGTGATTGGCCGAGCAGGAGGAGGGATGCTGCAGAGAGGAGATGAAGGTGGAGAGATGGATCTGGAAGGAGAGAGGTAGACTGGGATCTGTGGTCCCACCCACCGCGCACACACACACACACACACACACACACACACACACACACACACACAGCTTCGACTGATACTGGTTTTATTGGCCCGTAACAGACAGATATTGGTGGATATATATCAATGTGTTTTGTGGCGGCAGTTAGCTTTGACTGAATGAGTGAATGACTCAATAATGATGAATGGATGAAATAAATCAGCAGATAAACGACCAAACAAATGAATAAACAACAAATAACTGAATTTAATGAATGAACAAGTTATCGAGTGACTGAATAAAAAATAATTGAATGGATGAACAAAGAAATTGATAAACAATAAATGAACGAGTGACTGACAGAATGAATGAATAAATATATAAATAAAACATTTATTAGAGATTTATAATTTTTTTTATGTTGAAAAAACTCTAATATGAACAGAAAAGACGTCTAAAATCACCAAATACGGCGAAAAAAGGGAGAAATCCTCATTGTGAAATATAATTGTGCAGTTAGTTCATATTTGTTAATAAAAGTATGCAAAGTCATAATTACTTAAATATAACAATTGTCATGCAAAAAAATTAAATTCACTTTTGGTTTTTCCTCAATTTTTCTTTCTTTTCGGGAAGGAAAAGTCTAATTTGAACCATTATGGAACAAAAATGAATAAATAATCTGAGAAATGAAATATTGTGAGGTGTAAAAGTGTAACTGTTTATAATTTATCAGAGCTTAGCAACATCTTTAAAAGTTCTGACACACGGTGCTGATTTCAACCAACAATAAATGATTCTACCGGTACACAGCTAACGATAGCTTTCTGCTAGCCAAGAGCAATGTTAGGCAGCTAGCTAACTGATTGTTAACCAACAATAAATGATGCGGTGCCAATGGTACAAAATAAAATAAAGGAACTTTGCAGTAACGTTATTTTGCACCCGCAACAGCAGCAGTTCACTTAATGTCCACTGGTGTCACTATAACAACAGTTTACTGACAGTTATATAAAGTTCGTTTTTCTAAAGGTTGGAGTCGTCATTTATTTTTTGTTTGTTTTTTGAATATTTTTCTGTTTTTCGAGTAATTTTTTCTGAATTATCACATACTCCGAACTCCGCCAGAACCTCCAACCTGCGTGACTCCCATCACCTTGTGACCCTGCCCGCACATACATGCCCCATCTTCAACTATCAAGTCCTCGGGTTCCTGCGTCGAGTCGAAAGACTAATAATAATACCATCTATATGACTTAAAGACAGGACTATCTCCCAGTGTCTGAAACCAGATCAAAGTATAACTTGATTGAACTAAACAAGCCGGTTATGTTTGTTTCCTTTAAATCGAGTTCTCAATAAAGGAATGAATGCGTCTTTTGCAGGCCTGGCCAACCCACGGCTCTTTGCCTGGTTTCATGCGGCTCCTTTCCCCTTTCACACTGCCCAAAAAAACCTTTGTAAACCCGTTAACGCCCGATATTAATCGGCTTCACCTCCGATCAGCATTGATGTGAACGTCACACCCGGGTGAACCCACTAATTTGCGCCATGACGGAGGCAACGGAGGCTCGACTCTTCCATCACCAGCTGTACTAAAGCTGGTGAGGGAAGGAGTCTCCAAGCAGGGAGGGTCTCAAAAAGAGAAAAAAGTGTGTATGATGTGGCTCTTTGCAGTTACACAGTAAAACATTTGGCTCTTAGTCTCTGACTGGTTGGCCACCCCTGGTCTATTGTTTCAAATGCTCTCTAAAATTAGAAAACAATCACTCAGAAAAACACAAATAATTACTCCAAAAATGACTTTAAATACAGATTCAGTGTCACATCCTATCAAATCGGAGTATGAATGAATGGCCAGTGTCGACCCTGATATCAGTCGAGCTCTGATATCGACCCCCTCCTCCTCCTCCTCCTCCTCCTCCTCCTCCTCCTCCTCTCTGCAGTTCCTCCTCTCTGTCATTATATAACGGGCAGGTTGTTGGATAATAGAGGATGCTACACGCTCATACACACTCCCACAGCTCCATTTTTATTCACCGCTTCTATTTTCTGCTTTCGTGCTGTGAGATGACGTCGGTTTGAACCAAAGTCATTTTGTACATATTTGTTTGATCTTCCTCAGTTTAAAATAAGATTATTTGTCATTTACATGAACATGCCTACACATTCTGTTATGTAACTGTACATTATACTCAGGCTCAATTATAAAACACTACATGACTATTTCCATTAACTTCACTTCACTACATTAATCTGACAGATTATTAATTACTTTACAAAATACAACATATTGTTAAAGATTCAACCTGTCTCTTCTTTTATAAAAGCAGTGTCCTAAACCTGCATTGTTTCTAATGGCCAGCAGGGGGAGCTACATGGGTTGCAAACAAGAAGTCTGATAGTATTGAGTCTTATGGAGAAATGAGCCGACTTCTCAGTTGATTTATGAGCTCAGTAAACAGTTTCCTGATGAGTTTCTGGTCTCAGTCTCTAGTTTCAGTCTTCTTCCATACAGCATGATGTTCATTTAGTAACTGATGGTCCCATTTAGAGTAAAACAGACCATAAAGCAGAGTATGCTTTAGGGCGGGGCTACCTTGTGACTGACAGCTCATTCTCAGTGAGTCCGTCCAGCTCAATGCACCAAACTCAGATCAAACTGTCAAACAGTGCTGATCAGATATGGATCCAGATTCTGTTGTTGACTGTTTCTCTCCTCAAATCTGTTCACAAACACATTTTACTGTTTTACGAACTACGTGAATGTGCTTCTAGTGACTGTATTGATGTTGCTGTATGTATTTAAAATCAACTCACACTTTGTTGGATGTAAGTTAATAATAATATAATATGAAAAGTTAAATATGTGTAGTTGTGACACAGTTTTAAAGAGAAAGTGCTTTTTCACTTCCAGGAATAAATCCAACCTGACAGAACATAAATATTGTAAAGCTCAGTGAGTCTTCGGGGCAGCTGTTAAACTCACTGAACTCCTCATGTTCTTGTTCAGCTCGTCTGCAACATAACGTAGAGACTGAAGGAGCATCCACAGCAGCGTGATGAGTATTAATGAAACAACTGAGGAAGAAACAAGGCTGAAGAGGAAATAACAGACATTGTGTATTCAGCTGTATGTGAGTGTATTCAGATCTAACAGCAGCTAAATGCAGGATGAAAATATGTTTATACGGTCATAATGACATTGTACATGTGTTTACAACCTGTTTGAAAAATACATTGAATTCTGTAAAAGGGACTCAGTGACTGTGGAAAAACGTGGGTTAATAATTAGCTCATAATTTCAATGTTTTATCTCATAAATTATTTTTTTTATGTTTTGATGGTATTTTGCCTCCACACATGTATTAAGACACAAACAGTGCTTGGAACAATAATGTGTGTCTGATATAATTTCGACATTAAAAATCCTTAAAAACTCATCTTCTCCTTGTACCTCATTAAAAAGTTCAGAATCTATAAATATTGATGATCATCATACTGTAGAAGAAATACTTTAATCTGTAAAGTAACTAAAGCTGTTAAAATACAGTGGAATAAAAAGTACAATATTATGGGATGTAGTGGAGGATGAAGTTAGAGTTTGTGTCCACTAGATGGCGACATTGTCCTGAGCTCCAGCTTGTATTGTTTTATATTTGAGTGTCAGTATGGACCAAGTTTCTGCCGCAGTGTCGTTGTTGGAAATGTTGTAATTTATATATATTATATATATAATCTTCTGTTATAATCATAAAACACTTTTGATTTCAGAACCACACTAATACATTTGTTATGACACGTGTTACCCTTTAAGGTAAAATCAGTGGAAAGACAAGCTTTATGCCACACTGTGTCGCCTGCACTGTGTCTATTTCACCAGCAGGTATCACTCGTCACATCTGGAGCAGCAGCCAGTGTGGAGGCTGCTGACTGAGAGGAGGATGATCTTGCAACTACAACTTCTTTGCACCTTATCTACCTATTTATCTTTTTTTATCTTTTCTATCTCAAGTATTTTATTTTATTGTTGTATTTTATTGTATTTAAATTAACCTTGCTACTATGACGACCCAAATTCCCTTCAGGGATTAATAAAGTCTATCTATCTATCTATCTATCTATCTATCTATCTATCTATGAGAAGGAAGCTGAAGGCCATCATGGACAAGCACTTTCAGCCACAGACTGATCCAGCTCCCAGTACCTCCACAACCACAGCTGCAAGTACCATCCACAACCACAGCTCCCAGTACCTCCAACCTCCACAACCACAGCTCCCAGTACCTCCACAACCACAGCTCCCAGTACCTCCAACCTCCACAACCACAGCTCCCAGTACCTCCACAACCACAGCTCCCAGTACCTCCACAACCACAGCTCCCAGTACCTCCAACCTCCACAACCACAGCTCCCAGTACCTCCACAACCACAGCTCCCAGTACCTCCACAACCACAGCTCCCAGTACCTCCACAACCACATGTATTTTTTAGGACAGGTGAAGATCAACAGGAAAGGGGGGGGGTCTGCAGGACTAGGCACCAGGTGAACTATGATGTGCCCCAACTGTATTAGAGTTGTGTTCAGCTTCCCCCCCCCATTTTTAAATTTTAAAAAAAAAAAAAAAAAAAAAAAAAAATCAGCAACAACAACTATAACAGTTGCAATTTTGCATACTGTTAGGTGCAGGTACAGGTAGGTAAAATCCAACACAGTAATGAGGGTGAACTGACACAGAAACAAGGAAACAAAGGAAACAAAGACAGGTGAAGGGACAGACGATAGGGAAATAATCAGGGAGGGGCAGATACTCAAAACAGGGAGTACATTTAAAGCCTTGTTTTTAAGTTATTAGTTTTATCATTTTATTGAATTGTTTTTATTTAATAGTTGAATTTCATTGATTTTCTACTACTTGACCCTGTTGGAGCACTAGACTCTCTCCCAAGTGTATAGATGATAATATAATATCAATAACAATAAAATAAAATGAAAAAAAGAAATT